CAGTTCAAATATCATCTTAGTTATGCTCATTCCTGCAATCTCCAGGACTTGAGTCTCACCTCTTGTCCACCTCCAAGTCTTAGGCGTTAAACCTTAGGACTAATTCTCCGGCTCTACCTTAGGGTAGTCTAACCTCTGTTCTGTTTCTACTCTGGACTTCCATAGTAGCCTTACTCGTCCCTGCATAAAACCTTCCAGAGTTCTGCCGAACTCCACCGACACTAAGTCCTCCGGAACTCCCGGACTTCCGTCGGACTTCCCCTCTGTCCCCGGAAATTAAAGGGCACGTACTCAGGTAAGGGGTGCAGCGCATGAGCTGAAGCTGAAGCTCTTGAGTAACCTCTCCTTTGAGCACGACCTTAACAGTATATTCGAACTCACACCTTACCAAGTATACTAATGTCTGAGAATTACTTCTCCATCAGGTTTAAAGTCCTGTCCCTCATAAACTACGATTTTTCTCCGACCCTTCCATTATTGTTTAGGATCCTTCATCCTTAAAATTTCCATTCCAATAAAAACTCCATATTCCTATGTCCAATCCTTCAGCCTGATTTCCTGATCATAACTATCCTACTCCAGAACACTACATAATTATCTCTGGGTTCCTATTATATCTGATTTCTCCACTGCTTCATACTGGCAAGTCACCTCCGGAATGTCTGACATTCAATCCCTTTGGTTCTCCTAGTACCACTCAGGAATACCACCTGCTCTCCTGCCACGATCTGTTGATAGGTATAGGCAGGACACCTTTTTCCGGGTTTTACCACTGGAAATGCCATGACCTCCGATGTCCGAAAGTCGCTTCACTGCGGAACCCCTGTCTCTGGACTAGCCATGTCCTCCTCCCCGGTTTATGTTCGGATCACACTAGATAAACTAGTCCATTACATGAGCAAGCCTCTCATATATGCGCAGGTTTATCACCCATCCTCTTCCAACTCCCAAGTCAAGTTACCCCACTTCATCTATATACCTATACTCCTCCACTCCGATTACTCCTCCTCTGATTTCCGCCCCGCTTTGCCTCCTCCGCTCCTATTCCTCCTCTGCTCCGCCGCCTCCTGGAAAGTCTTCCATCAGGAGGGAACTCCATCTTGCTTCTCCATCTACTCTGGATCGTCCTCTGTTACTATGGACAGGGTTGGAACACCTCCTAGGAACAGCTGTATTATTGGACATTGAACGTCCCCTGTATGGACACACGACTTCATGGGATGTCTGTAATCGTCTACACTCCTTGAACAGAACATCAAAAAAGTGGACCATGGACTGAGTGAAAAGAACGTACCAGACTCATCCTGGGACCCTGCCCTCCCCATGTTCAACATCTCAATGTCACCTTCACCGCTTCCAGGAGTAACCCACTCCAGGAAAACCAGTTGGAGGTATTCTAATGGTGCTTAAAGAACTACAAAGGCAGCAACACCAAGGACCATGCCAAGTCCAGTGTCAACTAGATCTTCTGAGAGTGTCATTAAAAGAAGATGAAGTCGCAATTTGCGAAAAAAGTTCATTGGTTGGTTTCAAAGCCACTGGTAGGATCACATGACCTCTCCTCTTTTCCCCATCTGTCCTTGCTCTCCATACAAATCCGACATCACTGATATCCGCTCTGCCCAAATTCTATCGCCCACTTCCTCCTACCTCCGCTTGCTGTCTGTACTGAAACTCCCTCCGATACCAGTTACTCCGTCCTACCAAGGACTCTGGAATGGAGTTCCGAACCTTGCGTTCACCGGCAGAACCAGACTTCCATTTTTCTCCACCGGTACCTCTGAAAACTCGATTTCAAAAGCAAGTGAAACAGCCTATTTCAACGTGTATACAACTATGTACATAAAGGTCTGGATAGGAGAACGGGAATTAGCTACACTTAGGCCTCCATCTCCACCTCTTCCTCCGGCTCTGTTCCCGCTCCAGCTGAGCCCCTGTCTCTTCTCCATCCAGCCCCTTCTCTGCTTCACTCTCCGATTCTTCATCCGGCTTCTCTGTGTCACTGCCAGAAGAGCTGGTAGTAAGCTCGGTCACCTCCGCCCTCCCAATCTCTCCCCTTTTCCCAAGAACCTCCGTTTCTTTCCCCGACCCAAAAAGCCCCTCTCCAGTGCGATTCTGGTCACGTGGAGGATCTCCCGGATTTCCGCTCGGACCTGTTCCTCTCCTCCTTCTGCTCCACCGTTGTAGTTCCAGCTGTTGGCGAGATGGGTGATGGCTGTCGCAAGGGCCCCCAGCTTCGTGTTCGTCTCCGCCTGCACCAGGACCATGTTGTTAGCGGCCTTGACCCACTCCTGGTCATCGACCTCCTAATGGACTCCTCCTCCCCATACACCCTCCTCCTCCGGGAAGGCCTACCCACATCTTCCTCCATCCTTTCACTGGACTCCGCTGCCCTTCCCATGTCCTTTTCCAACTCTTCGCCAGTACGGCCGGTTGCGAATCATCCCCGTCGACTTTACAAGAGGCCTTTAGGCCCGCGCACTGGTCACAGGCCTTTGCCTTGGCCCTGCCTCTGCTCTGTTCTGGTCAATCACTGGCGCAATGGAAATGACAAAAGTACTTACTTTGGATTTCGCCTGGCCTCCTGCACCAGCGCCCATGTACATGCCTGGCTGGTGGCCTCACACTGCTGGCACATGACCACCTGGAGGAGCTCCGAGACCCCCAATCTCCGCACCTACCATAGACATCAGTATCACACAAGTACCAGATAGAAAGGAAACTCACCTCCGCCACCTTGCGTGCTTCCTCGCTAACCTTGCCCTCTCCACCGCCACAGCAATTCTTGCCTCCTCCGCCCTCTTGGCCTGCTCTGCTGCCTCTGCGGCCTTTCTCTCCTCCACTATCCTCACCGCGGCTCATCAACTCCTTCAATTCTGCCGTGGTCATACCAGCAAAGTCAAATTCGCGGGGAGCAGACATATTCAGTGAAGAAAAAAGTTAGAAAAAACCCGCCCTTCCTACACTCTTATAGTAGTAATCCGTCACCATGGAAACTCCACTCTGTACCCTGCAATCCACTCCAGTCCAAACTTCATTGTCTCCATCTGCCTCGCAGCACAATTTCCCCACCTCGTGCTGTGGACTTTGTTCCACATGCCTTGGTTCCACGGCAACATCTGTCTACCATTTCCCCAACATCTGGGAATTTGTCTAGGACCTCAGGGGTTCGGTCCTAATGGGGGGATATTGTCACACCGTGCTCAACCAATCAACCTCATACCCTGACCTCCAGACTTCCATATCTCCGAACACCTCCGACTACCGAACAAAATCAGCAACAAGTTACATTTTACAAAAAAATGAGCACATATGTACAACCGGATACAAAGGAGTACAGGACTATCTAGAGGTCATCAGTCTCCATATCTCTGCCAGAGACCCCAGCACCGCTCCCACCCTCCACCTCCACCTCGTTTCCTCTGGTTCTTCCGCCACCTCCACGTGAAAGCCGTTCCTCGCCGCCTCCAGGAATAAGGCTTGGAAAGCCCTCTGCTCCTACGAACCTATCCATGGCCACTCTGCTCCCCTCCCCACAGCGATACTCTGCTCCAGAAGTCCATTGGTCCGTGCCAATGCCACCACTATGTTGTTGGCAGTGGCCACCCAGGCCTGGTCGTGTACTCCGTCCATCTGCCCTCCTCCGCGATCACGGTCTGGGGATTGGAAATCACCTCCACGTCGTCGTCCATCTTGCCAGGCTCTGCTGACTTCTTCCCCTTTGCCGGGGAGACGGGGTCCCCTCCGCTCGCTCCCGCTTCTTCCCTTGTCGATACTAACGGCGGAACGCCGCTGGAGCACTGCGCCTTCAGCTGACGGCACACATCGCAATTCGGATCTACCAGACCACCTATTAGAGTACTCTGGAGAAAGAACCAAAGCATGCTTACCCTGTTGGACCTAGACGCCTGAGTCCAGGTACAGTCCCTCTTATGCTCCACACAGGAGCTGCAAGATTTCTCCGGACCTTCAAGTTGCTGGACGACTAGTAACCTGATATCTGGATAAGTACCAACAAACATTCAAGCTATCTAACTTACCATCGACACCCCCATGCGCCCCAATGACCGACTCCAGTACCCTTCTCCGCGTCTCCTCAATGTCCCTCTGTTTCTGCTCCTCCTCGCGTTTCCGTTCGCCGCTGCTCTCCATTTTTCCTCCGCCTTGATCTTCTTCTCCTCCCTCTGTCTGCGCTCCTCCTCTTCCTCCAGATGAACGGCTCCTGTAGGCAAGCGAACTCCGCCGCCATTTCCACCTGCCTTTCTTCCATGGCCTGTTTGGCGGACTTCTTGATGCCTTCAGGTTTGTTGGGCATGATAAACTGTATAAGAGAGTAGAAGGAGGGAAAAACAGTTTTTTCGTCTCCAAAGACCTCGGCACATTTCTACCATCACTGCAGAAACTCCAATGCCTCATGCTCCTAACCGATGATCCAGACCCCCAGCCTGTGGGCTGGCCCTAAGGGGGGGATACTGTCATATCCCATACCTCTGGATCTGGAATTCCAGATCTACTCCATTAAAGTCCGGTTCTCGTCCTGCTATTCCGCCCAGCTCTGCCTTCATCTCGCACTCACCCCTAACTCCTTTTAGATTAGCTATTGCTCGGTCACCAGTTATGTCCTTTCGCTATGCTTATTGATCCGTCCATTCCTACTTCATTTCCGACTTTACTGCTTTGATCTGTTACACTTACTAATAGACTTTCCACATGCTTTGTACATAGCCCTTACCTTTGCTGACTGATTTACTTACATGATAACTACAGTATATAAACCCCTGTAATACTCGGAACTCCTCAGTTCAAATATCATCTTAGTTCTGCTCATTCCTGCAATCTCCGGACTTGAGTCTCACCTCTTGTCCACCTCCAAGTCTAGGGTTAAACCTTAGGACTATTCTCCAGCTCTACCTTAGGGTAGTCTAACCTCTGTTCAGTTTCTACTGGACTTGTAGTACCTTTACTCCGTCCCCACATAAAACCTTCCAGAGTTCTGCCAAACTCCACCGACACTAAGTCCTCTGGAACTCCCTGGACTTCGTCGGACTTCCCCTCTGTCCCCCGGAAATTAAAGGGCACATACTCAGGTAAGGGGCGCAGCACACGAGCTGAAGCCGAAGCCCTTTGAGTAACCTCTCCCTTGAGCAACCTTAACATCACCGGTAAATCCTCTTACCGCCCTATCACTGATCTGATGCGTACATATTGATATCCACTCCAACTTATGTCGTTCGCCTGTGTAAAGCACTTACAAATTATATCCTTGGTACATAGCTTTACAGATGACGATCCTGATGACTTGAACGTAGACATTCTCGATGATCTCAATGATGACTTGGCAGACTTCACCGAGACATCTGACACATGGGCGAACTCCCCCGAGCTCACTGTCATCCCATTGCCATCAAACCTCGGAGTAGATCGATGCAGACGCTGCATGGCAGAGGATCTCATTACGCTGGAGATGTCTCTTCATGAAGGGCAGGCCAATGACTCCCTTCACAACCTCTGAATTCACTTGTGCAACAAGGCAATTCTGTTCCGAACAACAGTTAGGCAAGCCAAATCCCAGGCCCTGAAAACTCGAGCTTGGTCCCAGGTGATGTCCATGCAGCAGGCAGTGTCCCTCCATGCCAGTATATATATGAAGATGAGGAAGTAAATGATGCAACTTGAGCCGGGGGAAGACCAGCTTCAGAAATACAAACCCCTGCTTCGGGAGCAGCTCAAAATCAGCACTGCCATCGGCGATCCAAATACCCGAGGTCAGCAAAATGAGTCCCTCGCTTGGTTCTGGTCAGTCGAAGTCGACCTGGAGGGTCCTGATCACTCATGGAATGAGGAATGTGAGTTTGGGCATGCTTGACATATCCTGTGCTCAGCTGACGGACCCATCCGAAGTTTACCGAGTGCATTGGCTTTGGGCAAAGGCCCTACGGGATTGATGGAAGGAAGAAATGATGTTGGTCCAATTGGAGATGGATTGGACATGTAACTTTTTCTTGTGGAAAGCAACCCAATGGGGTGATAGGATGCGCGAATCATTGGTGAAAAACCTTCCGGGTCATGCATGCTACTCGGGAAGGCAATCCCAAATGTATTCATTGCTGGCACAGGATGCCCAGGCAGCATTTCAAGACCAGAAGAGCAGGTTTATAGAGGCTCGAGATGAATGAATTTTTTTTGCCGAAGATATGAAACAGCTACATCGACCCAAACATTTTAGTCCCGGGAATTGGCCAGGTCGACCGATGACAGAGTTTGCCCGGATCCAAAAATGTCGGAGTTTGAAAAAATTTATCCATCAACCTGTGGCTCATATCTTCACCTCCGAACCAACTGCCATTGTGATTGTCATTTCCAGGTTCATAATACTGCATTAACCATGTCTGTATCGCATACTCCTCCTACATCCCCTTCTGATTCTCAGAATTCCGGCAATGGGTTCCGACCCCTCACACTCACTCCGGCAGATCTTGCAGCTACAATGTCGATGGCTGCATCGAGCATCCGAGCATCCATCTCTCAATATCAGATGGAGGCTACCCACACCGAGGAGCCTTCTGCTGCTCAGATCATGCACTTTAAAGCTGGGCTGCAATGGGAGATAGCTGTAAGAGACTGATGACTGTGGTGGTCAATGCTGACATTTCCAACAGACTTTTGTGACTCCCCTCCTGCAGTACTCAGCTGCAAGGAACATCATTTTGGTTGTTCCGAGCCTGGTCACTCATATTCTTCGGTTGATTCCCGAGCTCACCTGGAACATGGTTCCAGACGACATCTTTTCATCCCACCTGTGCGAGTTCCATGATGTTGCAGATCTGGGGGATCCCTCCCAGATTGTATCAACCTATGGAACTCAATGGTGGACCGGACCAACTGCAATCCCGAAGGAATTATGGGCATGGGATCAGGTATTTGCCAATTGTGTCTGTCACTACCAGCATTGGCTAGTAAGACTTTTACCGAATTTCCTTGAATGGTTACTGATCCTTTCTAGTCTGGCATTGAGGATGAACGTCTTGTTGTTCCCGAGCAGGTGGCTGAAAGCTCGGTTGCATCACTGATGGCACTGAGGTGGATGAGAGAACGCCTCCTGACAGTGATTGAGGATCAACAAGATGGCATCCATGAAAAGATGGCCGAGATTCAGATGTACACAGCCGTCCTAACCAAATTGAAGCCAAGGGGACCGGAGTAGTTCTAGTCCTTCAGTTCAGAATGTTGAAGTCTAAATTCTGTACATGATGTAATAAGTACTGAAAATTAAACACTGACTTCCAAATATATGACCTATTGCTATATGCTGAGTCCCGCATACCCAATGTCGAGTATCAAGAGCCAGATATCTTGAGTCCTGAATGTCAAGTCCTGAACATCGAGTCCCGAATATCAAGACCGGAATATCAAGACCCAAAGCCCGAAGGCCAAGATTCAGATTCGAGACTCAAGACTCGAGACTCGACACAAATCTCAATACTCAATGCTCAAAACTTGACGCAAACATTTTTACAAGTTTTGAGTTTTGAGTCCCCACTATCAAGTATCGAGTGCCGACTACTGAGTCTTGAAACCCGAGTCCCGACTATCGAGTCCCGAAGCCTGAAACCCGACGCCCATGTATGGAGTCCCGACCATTGAGTATCGAGTGCCAAACATCGAGTCCTGAACATCAAGTCCCGACTGGTACTCGGTACTCGGGTGTCGGGTGTTGGGTGTCAGTACTCAGATTTATGCGAGTTTTGGGTTTCGAGTTTCGAGATTCGAGTCGAGTACTGACACCCGACACCCGACACCCGAGATTCGGTACTTGGTACTCGATACTCAGTGATTCGAGTCTTGGGATTCGAAACTCAGATTTATGCAAGTTTCGAGTTTCAAGATTCGAGTTTCAAGATTCGAGTTTCGAGTTTCAAATCGAGTACCGACACCCGACACTCGACACCCAACACCCGACACCCAAGTACCGACACCCGAGATTCAGTACTCAGTACTCGGTACTCGGGTGTCGGGTGTTGGGTGTTGGTACTCAGATTTATGCGAGTTTCAAGTTTCTTGATTCGAGTTTCGAGTTTCAAATCGAGTACCAACACCCGACACCCAACACCCAACACCCAACACCCAACACCCGAGTACCGAGTACCAACACCCGAGATTTGGTACTCGGTACTTGGTACTCGGTGATTCGTGTGTTCGTGTTTCGAGTTTCGAGTCGAGTACCGACACCCGACACCCGAGATTCGGTACTCGGTACTCGGTGATTCGTGTGTATCATCAGTACTTGGGTGTCGGGTGTCGGGTGTCGGTACTCGATTCGAAACTCGAAACTCGAATCAAGAAACTCGAAACTCGCATAAATCTGAGTACCAACACCCAACACCCGACACCCGAGTACCAAGTACCGAGTACCGAATCTCGGGTGTCGGTACTCGGGTGTCGGGTGTCGGTACTTAATGAAATACAATTTTGGGAGTTGTCTTCTTGAATCACCAAGTACCGACTACCTAGTACCGGGTTTCGGGTTGCGGTACTCGGCACTCGGTACTCGGTGATTCAAGAAGACAACTCCCAAAATTGTATTTCATTAAATGTGTATTTTCTTGACTCAAAAATCGAAACTCGAAACTTGTTAAAATGCATGAGTGTCATTGTTTTGAATTTGGAGTATTGAGTTGTTTTGAGTCTCGAATGTCATCCTTTGGGTTTCGGGTCTCGATATTCGGGACTTGATGGTCGGGATTCGGGCTTTGGGACTCAATGTTCGGGTTTTGTTATTCGGGACTCGATGGTCGGGCTTCGGGCCTCAGGTCTCGATATTCGTGACTCAATCATTGGGCTTCGGGCTTCGGGCCTCAGGTCTCGATATTCGTGACTCAATCGTTGGGCTTCGGGCTTTGGGTCTCGATATTCGGGACTCGATCGTCGGGACTCGTTGGTTGGGTCGAGTACCGCAACCCAAAACCCAGTACTCGGTAGTTGGTGAAATGTGTACAATAACACTTTCAAGTATCCTGCAATATCGAGTCCCGACTATCGAGACCTGAAACCCGAATTATGAGTATGGAGTGCCTGATATCTAATATCATGTATTTGAAGGTGGGTACTAACACGTGTAACTACCTTTTCTACTTCTTCCAATCCAACCTTGCCCATCCACATGACGGAATCCCGGCATAAATATGAACAGCATCCCTCATATACCATGCCCTGGCAATCTGATCCCCTTCCACTGCATGAACCCCGTGTCTGACAATCCTTCCTGAAAAAGCAATCATACACCCCGGATCGTACCTGAACTCCAGCTGAAGGCTTGGCATACTCATCCAAGCATTAGAATAATTCCCCACGCTAGTGAGAATATCGAAGCATTCGGGAATCAATGAATGGTCTCGATGATTCGGGGTTTCCCGATTGCAAATCACGGAGTGGCTGTTAAACACAGTTGCCCAGTACTGGAGAGTCTCTGACATCTTCGGCAGTTGCTTGCTTTGTGCTTTTTCTTCGAGGCTCGCAAAGGCTCGCAACCCTGCCCAGTACTGCTCAGGATGCATAACCCTGAGTGCCGCTGTTGCAATGGCTGCTGGCCTCGCAATGGCCTTCAGGATATCCTCTGAGGATGCTCCATTCAATGATGCAGAAACCGCCGGGTCTACCTGATTCTGGGGGATTCGTGAGCTTAACTACCTAGATCACCATCTCATCAGATCCTACCTCGTGCCGCTGCTGAAACCATGCCGGAGATAAATTAATGCATCCGGGAGTTAGGACATCATTTTGCGACCTTGGTGTGAACCACTTTTGATTAGTACGCCAATTCCCATCGAGCTTTATGCTTTTTTCGAGTATCGGAGCGAGCAAATCCAAGGCCACCCAAATTTCCTTCTGTAGGAACCATTTGATGTTCAATATCCATCCAGTAACAATATATATAACACACCTGGGTGGCATTGGTCAGGGCATCCGGGAGGTACCATGTGATGATGGCACCGGATGCATCAAGAATTGTCGCAGGTATGTCGATCAACTTTGTGCCCTCATGGCCAGGAGGACACCTCTCGAGCAACCTCACCTCTCTCTCTTCATTATGCCCTGTGTCCTTCGGGGAGATCAATTTGCTATATCTTGCAATATCGATCAGCATCTGAACTGTGATGAAGCAATTTGACTGATCAAACAAATTTTCCGAATCTGCAGGAAGACTCACTGGGATTTTTATATGCCTTTATGAGCCGATCAACCAATCGATCACAAGCCATCACCAGATCAGTGTCTAGGTTCAGAGAAGGTATAACTGGGTCTCCTCCTGTCTTCTCTGCATTGAATTTCTGTTCGGTATATTCACATGCCACATGAGTGACAGTCAGGGCCCAAGTGCACAAGAGGGTTATTTCATCATCGGAAGTGGAAGAAACATCCATGATTGAATTGATCTTGTGAGATCAGAAGCTGAATCCTGGATGTCCGCACTTTGGTGTTAAAGGGGTGGAGATAGAGAGGATCAGATAAGAGAGCCTTGGATGATCTTAGCTTTCAAAGTTCTATTATCTATTATCAATTGCTCAATGAAATACCAGATGATTGGAAGTCTGTTGGATATCTGATATTCGTTTGTCGAGACCCGGGCCTCGGATCTCGGTACACTTCACTCAATTTTCGATACCCGGGAGTCCATGGTCGGAACTCGAGTCTCGAATCTCGGGCTTTGGGTTTCGGGTCTTGATGGTCGGGACTTGATGTTCGGGACTCATGTTTTGGGACTCCATAGTCGGGACTCCATAGTTGGGACTCAATGTTCGGGACCCGAAACTCGCAAAAATATATGAGTTCCAAGTTTTGAGTTTTGTTTTGTTTTGAGTCTCGATGTTCGGGACTTGATAGTCGGGACTCAATACTCGATAATCGGGATTCAATAGTCGGGGCTCGGATCTCGGGTACACCACTCGATTTTCGGTAGTCGGAACTTGGCATTTGGCATTTGGTAGGCTTGGATGATGTTGGCTTTCAAAGATCTATTATCATCCATTGCTCAATGAAATACCAGATGATTGGAAGTGTGATGGATATCACATATTCGTTTGTTGAGACCCGGGTCTCGGAACTCGGTACACTTCGCTCGAGTTTCCACTTCACCCCTTTGCAAAGCTCCGTGCCATACTGCAAGACCTTCCTCTTCTATCTAAAAGCTTTGATGAACAGGGCCTGGAACACGAGTTTCCACTTCACCCCTTTGCAAATCTCCGTGCCATACGACATCATTAGATGACTTTGAATTATTACCTCCTTTGATTTGGATGATATACAACTACCTGAGCTCCATCATGTCTACAATTATCATTCTCCTGGGCCCACCCATCTATATTATATACCCCCACATCGGCCTACCCGTCTATGCAATATACGACTACCTTCGGCCCACCCGTATATATAATAAATATTTTACCACTCCCTCGGCCCACCCGTATATATAATAAATATTTCACCACTCCCTCGGCCCACCCATCTACAAAATAATCTTAATTCGTCGACCCACCCATCTAACATGATATATATCTGGGCCCACCCGTCTATGTGATAACAAGCACCCTTGACATACCCGGCTATTTGATACACATCTACCTTGGTAAACCCATCTACATAATATCCAACTACCTCGGCCCATCCATCTATTGAATATTCATGTCCATCGGCCCACTCATCTACTCTACATATTCCCTACATGGGCCCACCCGTCTCCATCAGGAATAATAACACTCCCGGCCCATCTGTCATAGTCGAGGATATATCTACCTTTGGCCCATGGTCCGCTGGCCCGTATCATACAGGATATTATGCACGTCCGTTCACTCATATAATACGGAGATATGTTACTGCAATATGTGGCGATGGTTCTGAAGCACTGTCCAGAATTGAATATGCATGGTGACTCTGTCTTCTGGCCACTCGTGCTGTTTCATAGCTGCAATCATGTGGGGTGCAGCTTCATTGAAGTGCTCCCACGACAGATTCTCATCTTTGGTGATGACGGCTTTTGGGTCGCGAGTCTCATCAGCATTGACCCAAGTTTGTCAGCCATCCGCTGTTGTCATTAGTGTTAGACCTGGAGATTCTGTGGAGAGCAGGGTCTTCTTGGCGTCTTTCAATCCCTTGTTGGTGAAGTAGTAGAGTTCACAGTAGTCACCTGCTTTCAGTTTCCGTACAGCATAGTGGGAAGGTATGACAACTGGGACAGATGGTACTTTGGTTTTGCCTATGGGAACAAATTTGGCTTTGTTCTTCTTCTGTTCCTCTTTATGAGCTGCTTCTTGTTCTTCTGCGATGGTCTGTTTGTGTTCTTGTTCTTCTTTGTTACAGGGACCCTCAGACCCCTATCGTCTCCACCACATGTCACCATCACAACCGTGTTACAACATGTAACAGATGACGTCACTGGCATGTGACTAAACTACAGAGCACAGCATGACAGCTGTTGGAGCAGGACAGCTCCGGAACCGACCTAGACCAGGATCAATAGAAGCCACGCGCTTCTCCCTTATCGCCCCTACCGATACACCGGTACTGACTATTGTTTATCCTATCGCTTATCATGACAGATAGCGTTATCTGACTTGGACATCTACCGCTGTGCCGGTACCATACCCTGGACCCTTACCATTGAACCGGTACTCTTATCTCTGAGTCCTTATGACTCACATAGACGCTTACCTAGTTGGGACGCTTTCTGGCTACCCAAGCCTACCCTGAACTCATAGGATGATACCTATATATACCACTGTAGTTAGACCATGTATTTCTCTAACTTGATCTTCACTTGTGATATACGACTCTAGCTTCTATCATTGAACCTTTAGTCAGTCATTCTGGATGGACAACCTCCATTCAGTCTTCCATCGTCCTGGTGCTCCATGAAGCGGACACGGGATTGACCCTATCAAGTGCACTGTTGGAAAGCTGGGCCTTTCTGTAACATTCTTCAGCTGCTAGGCACTGAATTTCTTCAGCGTCTCTAGCGGCTTCTTCAAGTTGTTCCGCCCATAGATCCCATGCTGTGTTGTTTTTCATGGTCCATAGCACTGCTAACAATTCTGCCACTTGGGCATTGTTCACGATACCATTGGCGATGAGTTGTGCCCTAGCCTCTCTGTGATCATTTACCATAAAGTCAGGTAGGACTGCAAAATTTGGGTCGTCTAGTAGAGGAGCCATTTGCTGAAAGGAGTGAGCAGAAAACGAGAGAGCTAGGGCTGGTGATCATCAACAATGTTTGAAAAGCTGATGTGGTCAAGAAGAAAGTCGCTGCGCCACAATGCTTACTTACACGTAGACTATATTCTATGTTAGCCTCGTGACTCAGCTAACTTAGAATTCGAACTCCTTGGATAGTAGCAGCACCTAGTACAGCAGCTGAAAATTACATCAGCAAACTACTTCATTCTGTACAGAGCTGTACAACGCGAAAGATACACAGCTTAGTCCCTTCTGTACACTTCACTACAATAACACTTCATTCTGTTAGTTCCTGTACAGACCACCACAGACACCCACCGAGAATTGCTTTATGTACGATATTTCAACACTGTGACAAAAAAACATCATGTGCTACTGTCCAGTAACACACTTACCTGTAAAGTTGTACCATTCTGTCCACACATGTAAAATATGTACGCAATCACAAGAGTGTATTAGATCACAGACAGTAACACGGAAACACGGATGCAGATACTGGTAGTTGTAAGATACACGAGCACTAATAATGATGGATGATACTAGTCGCGAAATAGTGGTCCAAATCTAATCAAGCACGACCCGCAAATGATGATGCTTTGATGCGTCCTTGCCATTGAGTTTGCAGGACTGCGCCCTGCATGGATTTAATTAGCGAAGACTTATTTTGAAAAAAGCTCCTTACCATCCTTCTGCAGCCCACTCACAAAGCTGTCATGTCAACTTAGGACCGTGATATGTGCGCTTCATGATCTTCTTGAGTTCAGCAACCATTGAGAGATAGACAGAGGAGTAGTCTTTGGCAGTAAACTTCGGAAAATACTTGCCACTGCCGTTCTTGACTAGCCTGTCAAAGACGCAGTTGTACTACAAATTTTGCATCAGCGCATCATTAGTATGAAATAAATATATATAAAAAGTACCACAGCGCAAACCAAAGCCAAAGACTCCAAAGGTAACTCCTCTTTGAAGATATCGGGTCTCCTGTGAGCGATATGATAGGAACCAGTGTAGCAGAAGGCGATGGCAGCTGCCTTGAGTGCAGGGTGAGCAGCGTTGTTGGTTTTCCCAAGTTCATCCACACCATCGTGAAGAAACACAGAGTTGTCCAATAGTTTCATAGCAGTGTTTGCGACCCAGGCGGTGCGAGCTTGAGGAAGTATGTCAGCTGAGGGGATGAGGTTATACATGGAGGGCACGGTGCTGATAGCTATCTTCTTGAGGTCGGAGCGCCAGGTTGATAAGTCTTCATATAGCTAGATAATAGTGCGTGAGGAATTGAGCCAGTGACAATGGACATACTTACCAGCTTGGCCATATCAGCCTTGTGGTTGGGCCATATACAGTGGCTCAAAAAACTGTCCGCATGTTTTCACATTTTTCACTATCTATGATATTGTGTGAGAATATACAAACACATCAAGGTCATGCTGGTACCACATTGTAGTACTACTTCAGGGCTTCCAATCGAGCCCTATGGCGTGGGAATCGGTCGAGATATGGTGGAGACATAAGGCTTACAAAATGATGACTCATGTGGACAGTTTTTTGACTCAAGTATTTTACAGTGACAATCAGGTATTCCAGTACATTGTGTGACCTCCCTTGGCTTTAATTACTGCCTCTATCCTTCTAGGCATACTCTTAAAACTATATCTAACTATATAAACCAGAATGTGTCATGTGTCATGGTCATAATCACCATGAAAGCCATCTTCTCTGCTCAAAGGGATAATATCCTCTCTTTGTCCTGTGCTGGCCTCTCTGCTCATTAAATTTCCTCTAGAACTGAAGTATGCAAGTCTACTGTGGCCATGTGTATCAAAGAAAGCCACCTGGACAAGGAAAACTCTTGTGGAGGACATCCACCTCTGCTAATAAGAGGGCTATCATTCAACATATCACTACAGGAAAGGCTAATAATGCTGTCCAAGCCACCCATTATATCAATTCCACCATCACCACCACTGTCTTTTCACAAACTGTGAGGAGTGTTCTCAAGGCAGCTCATCTCAAGGCAGTAACAAAGAAGAAATGCCTCTTCTCTCTATCAAACATAGGCAGAGAAGACTACCTTTGGCTTGGCCCATCAAAACTGGACTGTAGAGGATTGGAAGCATGTTATATGGTCAGATGAGACCAAAATCAATAGGATTGGGTCAGATGGGAAGGTATATGTATGGAAAATGAAGAGGGATTTTTTAACAGACAGAGAGGTTAGTGAGACTGTCAAATTTGGAGGAGGTTCTCTAATGGTATGGGGCTGTATGGGATGGAATGGTGTGGGTATGCTTGCTGAAGTTGAGGGGAGGATGGATGCTGAGCAGTATGTGGACATTCTAAACAACCACTTGCTGCCTAGCATAGCTGAATCAGGGATTGATGAAAAAGACATAATTTCCCAACAGGATAATGATCCCAAGCACACATCTAGGAGAGCCAGACAATGGTTTAAAGAACATATTATCAATGTTCTTGACTGGCCAGCACAGTCCCCTGATGTCAATGTCATTGAACATCTCTGGGGAACACTCAAGAAGAAGCTTCAAGCCTATGAAACCCCCTCTAAAGGAGTATAGGAGCTATGGGAGAGTGTAGCAGTGGAATGGGCAAGGATTACAGCAGAATATTGCCAGAAATTGATTGAGAGTATGCCTAGAAGGATAGAGGTAGTAATTAAAGCCAAGGGAGGTCACACAATGTACTGGAATACCTGATTGTCACTGTAAAATACTTGGGTCAAAAAACTGTCCACATGAGTCATCATTTTGTAAGCCTTATATCTCCACCATATCTCGACCGATTCCCACGCAATAGGGCTCAATTGGAAGCCCTGAAGTGGTACTACAATGTGGTACCAGCATGACCTTGATGTGTTTGTATATTCTCACACAATATCATAGATAGTGAAAAATGTGAAAACATGCGGACAGTTTTTTGAGCCACTGTACCTAGTTGACCTCATGAGTGAGATATCTCGGGGAAAACAAATACATACCCGCTTCCACCTCATTACCTGCTTCAAGCCATTCGACGAGTGACGTTGAGAGTGCTTCGGTGACTGAAAGAGGCAAATCCTTGATGGTGTCCAGGAATGCATTCTCGATTGCGTGCTGGGCACAACACTCTGATTTTGCCTCCTCAAGAAAGGTCTGCTGGATTGCTCAAGTTGGATCAGGTCGTCAAGCCAGGTATTACACCCAGATAAGGGCTGACTCATATGGTGAGCGACAGGTGAGTGATCTTTGAATTTCTTGCTGCATGAAGGACAATAACTTGAAGCTTCGGGCATGCTGAAGTCATCAACATATGAAGTCCAGGCCCAGCATTTTCCAATAATCCTTCTACAATGATCACAGGCCCGGCACTTTCCGATAATCCTTCTTCACATACTATACAATCCTTATCAGTCAGCGCTTCTGGTTTATACTTGAATTCTCTCCAAGCCTACCACAACAGCGATGAGGACTCTCACAAGCCATGTTGTCCGAATCTGCATACCAGTTATCATACTAGTGGTATGTCCAATATATTGGAAGTTGTTGACAATTTCAATGCTATGGTGAGTCAGTCTTTCAACATTTTTGTAAAGTCTCAAAAGGATCGGCATTTCAACAGTCCGTCAAAGATCCATCTGACGGTGAAGCAAACCTGATGATGGACCTCGTAAGAGCGAAGCGCGACATTTTTCAAGCTCAGAAGGCCCTCGCAGATTCGATACTATGAGAACACGAGGTTTTGTCAAGCTTGTTGAGATTCCAAGCTGAAACTGTGGGGAAGAGGTTGGATGATGCAGACCTTGGACTAGGATATATGCGAGTTGTCTTCAAGAAGCATGGTTGGACTCATCACCCTCAGGCCCCTCTATCCGGACAGGGATGTCTGCACGCCGGTAAGCTTGATATTCTGGTATCACAGGATGAACTGATGTCTGAACACATCACAGACAACTTAGAAAATGCACGGCATGTCACCATTCGGCTTGATTAATTCTGTTTGTTGGTGCATTCCGCATTTTTCTTTTATGTTCAACATATGTACCATGTAAATTCTTGCGATATCGTTTATATGTCCAAAATATATGTTCACATTGGTTCATAAATTTCAGTGCGCTACTAGTACTATGAGTGATGTAAATGACTCCGAAATATACTAAGTACAGTGTTTACTACTATGATCATGACACTTGCAACTCGAAGCCGTGACTCTGTGAGTGGCTGGAAGTAAGTGGTTCTGTAGCTACATTTGAAGCCTGTGCTACTGTAGTAGTCGAAGTCTGGAAGAAACCGTGACTCTGTGAGTGACTGGAGGTAAGTGGTGCTGTAGCTACTGTATGCTGTGAGCTTTGTGTGAACTGTGACGTTTTGTGGTTGGCTGTAGCTAGGGTGAGAATTTAAGTCTTCTGTAGACTAGTTTGCTGATGTAACTTCATCTAGCTCTTTGGCCCTTGGAACCTCATTCTCTCAGCAAGCTCTGCACCCCTTGCCTTCAGATGTTGGACGCGAATCTGGAGCAATCCAACGTCCCCCTGCGCGCATTACCAGGCCCCAAAGGAACAAGCTGGATATATGAGAACTAGACAGATATCTGCATCGCGGTACAGTGATCCATTACACTAGTAACCATCACCCTGTCTTCATTGGATTTTCACAGGAGAGCCCAATACCTCATGATGAATCCATCGGTGAAAAGAGTGAAGGCCAGCGAATGAATATCATGCTCTGGCTAAGTAGAACTTCTGTGACGACGTGCATCGAATCTAGCAGCTCTATCGGATCCGAGTCATTACCTATTCCCATAAGTGCCGTTTTTGGTCCTTGAGCTTTTGCAAATCGACGACGATTTTCCATATATACCACCATCTAGTGGGGTCGTGAGAACAGTGGAGACCAAAAATGCATCCATGGGGCCCAGTAAACAGCGCCTATGACGGGAGGAGTCGTGGTGTCATCCCTAGCTTTTACGTTCAAGCATACAACGAGACTACAAAATTCCGTCGTAAGTCCTTCAGTCATATGCTATGTATTCGAATGTTTATTTCCTCTATCCCAAGATCTCTGTTGCTCAAGCAGAACAGTGAAGTTTGTTCAGAAGCAAGCACGTTGATCAACTCAGCGAGAAACCACCAGTAACGCCATCAACCATACTGCACCAATGCGAAAGTAGAAACACGACTCACTGTTGTTCACTGTCGCGACACGCCGCTCAGTAATACGTACATACCGCAACGAGCTACCACGCCGGTAAGTCATGTGGTTAAATCCATGTCGCAAACTACTCATACTCACAGTGATAACGTCATTTACAATGTCGGCCTCCGATGTGCAGTGCATGCCAGCGCAGCAGTCTAACCATTTACAATATGTGGGACAATATTTTTTGTTGCTGTCAGCATCACTGCGGCTGTCAATGGGACTGGCAGAAATTGACGCTGTCAAAGCAGCAAGAATGGCGAGGACGAATGAGAAACGCATTGATTGTGAGGATATGATGTGGAGTCAAATAAATGTGAAGGGGACGGTAGGAAGACGGCTTGCTTTTATTTTTTGAATATTGTTCTGGAAGAACTTCATGGCGATTTAGGAAGAACCTATCTTACAGGAAATACAATTGATCCTTCCTCGCATCCTCATAAGACCTTGAGAACGCTGCCCTGTGCGGACAAACCCTGGAGTTCGAATGCTGAAATGCACTTTTCACTACATTTACAGGCACGCCGCACGGACTCTACGTTCATACAACACAAGAAAGTATCAAGGTGTAGTACACCTCCTGTACTGTCTCTCACAGTGGTCTAACGCTAGCTTTCAGATGCTGCATGAAGTGTTATTCGGACTGTGGCAGTCCGTCAAGCCTCGTCTCCCTCACCTCGTCATTGTCAATCCCCAGCCATGCTACCATGTCAAGCCCCATCCACGCTGCATCATTACCCATGCTGCCGTCACGGTTCGTCTGTGCGGCGTCGATGTTTTTCAGCGCCGCGTCACGACCGTGTCAGGCTTGACACATACCATCACTAACTATGCCACGTCAGCACTGCTGCCCGCGTCACACCGACATCGTACTGAATATTGTCTTGAGTGGATATTCTAGGCATAGCTTGCATCAGAAACCTATAATATTTGCTTTGCAGCGATTTGTTCTGGTCGCGTGCGTTTGTTGCTAGTGATGCTTGTCGTCATGTACATAATACCATCAAGAACGTTACCCCGTTCGAATGGGTATGCGAAAAGTCGTTTGAATTTTGACTAGAGACCAAGGTTCGTGATATAGATGCTATCATCCCTCAAACCTATCATTAAGCATTTTAGCAAGTCCACGATCAGCGCCGCACACCTTCTGAAGAAGCGTCGTGTTGATGACAATGACGAGACTGTGAAGGCCTTTCAAAAGATCGGAAAAACAAGTTTTGGAACTCACTAGTCAGCCGCAGCATCACTCTCACTCCAGCAGTGTCTCCCAGACATACGAGATCTCGTGGACAATAAGGTTGTCAAATTCAAGGCAGGTACTTTTCATTGCAATCTTATGCTTATGTCCGCATATATCAAGCGGACACGTCTACTCGGAAGGACATTTAGTAACTGTCGAAGGCTCTTAGAGGAAGAAGTTAATGAAAACAATTCTTGAAGTCACTTTGCAGCATCGCGTGCGTACATTTTGACTCGTGATTCTGGAAGTCCCATTGATCTATTTATCTTCAGCAAGACCTTAATGCAGTATCACATCGATGATGTTCGAAGTTGAGCTGAGGCGTCTTGTGGTGAATTTTTTGAAGTTTCTCGAATGGTTCGCTGGGGTGATTCAAGGGTGTGGCACCGTATCAAATGGCTGTATGATCACCCAATATGGAACTTTCATAGGGTATATGCGCGTGCGTTAAGCCTATCAGTCGCCCTCACCTGGGACGGAGGCAAGTTGAATGCTTTGATCAATCTCCCAAGTACTTACTATGAGTCTGATTAAGGTCTGATTGCAAGTCACGAGTGGTGCCGCACCGTCGTCTTAACGATACACCAAACCTATGTCAATTTGAATGTAGCGCCATCGATACGAGGATATCCGCAACGCACTTTGTTGGTAGTAGTAATACGGTACCCGGCGCTGTGCTCTTGCTATTCGTAGATGGAAGTCCCTGATATGTTCGCAGCGTCGCGACGCAGTAATAGTGCCTCCCACTCGAGATGTTCCCTAACGTGTTGCGTGAACTCCAGTTCGTACCTGGACCCAGTGAACGTGACCGGTTACCTGCAAGGTGATGAGATGGATTTATATGCACGATTAGTAGACGCTGCGGTGCACATCCGTCACCTGTGGTGCAAGTCATGTAGTACCCATACTCATCCACAAATCCATTCAAACATCAAAAACTTCAGGAGACAGACCTTCGGCTACGCCCCTTGCTTTTGAAACTGGAACATGATCGTCGCAGCTTAGATCGTGAACGACAGGTAGCAAGGTGTCACAGCCGACCTTAGCTACGCATAACGGTCAAGATCCACAGCATAACGACGACAAAGTCCCAGAGTAGTAAGAAATGGTATACATGCACCTCGGGTATCATCAACGCATTACATCAAGCAAGTTCTGCAAATCCTACCCTCGTGTTTGCGTAATCAAACACCGCATACACGTTTTGAAGAAAGACATCGCCGACGATGGTGAAATCTGTATTGTGTCGAGTATGAGCACCAATGTCATTGTAAAGATACCACAAGCTGTACACACCCATTTCTGAAGACGAGGCAATCCCGGCCATGCAGTCGGTTGAATTGGTATCCTCTGGCCCGAGGTTGAACGTCTGAGGAGAGACTGTGAAGGAATGACCGCCAAACGTGAATGTAGGCACAGATGAATTCATCATATTACACGGAACTGCGCAGATGTAAACGTTGATCAAATTAATGAGGGTAGAGTAGGGGATAGACTTACTTGTCCAGTACGTATACCCGTCCTCCGTGTGGGCTGTAGCGTTAGATATGTTCGCGTAGTAACTTTGTGCGACTGAATCGGACGTGATGACGAGGGTGGTCCCGGTATCAATGATCGCAGGAATGTCGTTCGACCCATCGACTTCCTGGCCCAACCTCGAGATGCTGCCTAGCTCTACCTCCCAATAGCCCTGTGTTGTCACAGGGATATACGTGAGTGTGTCGGAACGGTAGAGACTCGGGTTTGTTCCTCCGATGAGCAGTTCGCTATCTCCTGAGGTAGTAGATAGCTTGAACCCCATGACGCTTTCTGGCAGTTGGCCGCTCTCGCTCAGTGTCTCGAAGAGTGGCGATCCTTCGAACTCTGAGATTTCGCGGAATGCCAGGCCGGAGAGACCGTCAGGGGGGTAGTCATACTCGCTGAACTGTGGCGAATATAAGTATGCAGCGCCAACACTCTGATTATTAACCTGACAAGCTAGATTAGTAGAGAGAAATGAACACGTTGGGAAACTAACTTTGTAATCCCCAACAGAAACGACATCGAAGTACTCTTCGCCCGCCGTCTGTCCAGAGCCGTAGGTGAGTAAGAACGGCTCCCCAGTATCTTTGGCTGACGAGGACGAATCAGGGTCGTATGATTTATGCCCGTTACATGTGAAACCGCAACGATCAGATGGAAGAACTGCGAGTAGTGTTGTCAGCTTGGAAACGAAGGATACACTCTCGGGAAAACTCGCAGAGATCTGAGCTGCCAGTGTCAAACACCACTTCAGAATGTCAGAGTCAGACCATGTCGCATTACAATTTCAATGATAAACGAACCTGTATATGTTTCCGGGGGCGTGCCAACTTCGATCGAGCCGTACCAAAGGTCCGCATTGTAGTTTGTGAGGGGCACGTCTCCATTCGTGGCCCGCTTCGCCACCGGACGGCTGTTGAAGCGACTACTCAACGGATGGGGGGATCCAGTATTCCGTTCGTAGGCCTTCATGGTGGCAGTGTACTTCCTAGTTCACGTCAGATGAATTTGCCAGTGGATAAAGGAAGACAAAAGTACTCAGATACGTAGTCCAGCTGTCTCTTCGCATCAAACACTTTGGGGCTGTTACCAGCAGTGTTGAGGAGAATGCGTTGTGTGCGGCCTACATTTGAGCGAGCACTAGATGGAGGAGTGGGTGACCCAACAACTGCGACGACGAAAAGTGCACAGATGGCAATGAGGTTCATCTTGTAGGTGTGTTACGTCGGTGGTCTGAGGTAAGAGAGGATGGGCCCCGACAATCCCACAAACCCAGGTTTTAAAGTCTGTGTCGAGAACAAAATCGTCATCTCGTTTGAATCAGTTTGATCATGAATGCAATCTGGACTGACACAACTCGAACGTCTACAGGCGTTTGTCATCATACTTCAAAGCTTAAAAGCTTAAAGTCCTGACGTCTTTATTTAGACTGGCCTTGTCCAAGCGCAAAAAGTCGATGTATCGCTTGTATACTTACCAGTCCCGCATCTAGATCTCCGCCTCCGTGGACCGTGGCACTTTTATTTTCAGGACCAGTCCTGACACCCGGGTAGTACTTAGTATGACTACTCTATACAAGTAACTAGTAGTGATGCGGTTGGTGACACCCAGCTGTACAAGATACTAAACTGAACCATGACAAGTACCAAGTAGCAGGACCAAGCTTAACAGGTCAATTCGCTCCATGTTTCGGATCTGGTTCATTCATCTCAAGTGTGGGCCATCGTTATTCTGTATCATAACCGAATTGACATGTATAGTTCAGGTAGATGGAGATGGAGAGGTAATTGCCAGTGAAGTCGCCCCAAAGCATATAAATCGAATCAATTTCGACAGCAACTGATATAGACACTACAATACGTACAATGCAATTTACACCTTTAACGACAGTTACATTTTTTTTTCTGCTTCCCACCTTCGGAGGGCTTGTTTTTAGTACTAGTACCTGGCTCAGGCACCGGCGCATTTGCAAGTGCAAGCGCCTTAGGATGATACTGCAGCAGGAATTTCTGGTACAAACCAATGATGATGTCTGATCCATGTGGTAATTGCGAGTCAGCGATCCTCCTGACCAGCGAAGGGATATTCTGGATGACAGGGGCGGACGTGATGTGCTGGAGTAGAACCTCTATATGCATTTGCAGGATTGCGGGATACCTGATACCGCGGAGATGGTTAACACCGCACATGCCCCGATCGAAGAAATGACCAACTTGGATGTAAACGAAGAAGAAAGTTCTCGGAGAACATTTCCTGCATCCAAACTGCTGCGTATTGCAGAGAAAGCTTGGTCGCGAAGACCGTCAAGTCGCATCTGACAATCGTGTGTTATGGTATGCGGAGAGCACCAGGCAAGTTTACTCGAACCTTACACGCCAAACGATACATAGACTTTGGTGAGCATGGCCACAATGTACTAGGGTTAGGTGCCTCTACATTAGCTCTCGGTTGTCCCTGAGACTTGATTGGCGAGAAGACAATCCTGTTGGTATACAGATACAGTAAGAGTGCTTTCCATCTGCATAGACAACATCAATGCCCGCTACCATCGTGATGATATCTTACTTACGTCTTGAAGGCTGTGTCTCGCACTAGTATGTTCCTGCAGTTGACAACCTGTGACTTACGTTGAGTTGGGGCAGAGGTGATAGACGCCGTTGCTTGCGATGGGCCAGTCGGGATGGGATCACCAACTTTCGAGTCAATTTCAGACTCAGCATCCGCCACAACAAGTAAATCGTCATCCGATTCGCTCATGTCTCCTTGCAAGACGCGTCAGGATTTATGTTGCTGATTTTATTTTAAATCACTTACCCTCGAGGACGGCAGTCTCATCGCTGACTGGTTTTTGGCCAGTCTTTTCCTTTTCCTCTTCTTCATCTTCAAGATCGCTGTCAGATGCGTATCCATAGTCATCCAGGGCCATGCCATCCTCGAATACTGAGCCACCATCGAAGTCGACAAATGTGACATCAGATGGTCCCGTTCTAGACAATACTGTCAACTCTGATGAGTAAGCTCACCAGTTCCATGTGAGAATAACAGCTTACGTTCAGCGAAAAATTCGGAGCGTGCTGTCAGAGCAACGTCGTTGGCCGACAACGCTTGGAGTCTGGTGACTTTACGTGGATTTTCTGAGCGTCTTGAAAATAGGTGGAATTCCGTATCAACGAGCTCTTGACCAAGTATTGATTTCATCAAAAGCGCTTCAACGAGCGCTTGATGGTTCGACATCGTGGAGTGCTGGAGAGTTATGGGCACGAAATGTGAAGAACCGGTGATTTTATATTCACTCAGTTGGGCGCTATTGGACGTGGGCGCACCGCATGATCACTTGCCTTCTGCGACACCTTCGAAGCCATAACATTGCCAATAAAATCGTGATATGGGCTTCGAGGATCTGCCTATGCTCGATCGGGGTCTAAAAAGCCGAGGACATCGCACCACTTGATTGTCGTCCTGACAAAAGCATTCACATTCGAAGCGTCGCTTGACGAGCGCGTCTATGTCTGGTAGATGTCTATCCAGACGATTGCATGTAGGAACACGAATGCTTCCCGCCATAAGTGGATTCTTATGCGAATAGGCTGGAGGAGGTAGATAACATTTCCTTCGCGGGCGCGTGGAGGTCTGTCCACCATTACTAAATATAAGGATTCAAATATTCAGCCTAAAAAATCAATTTCAAAGCGCGCGTCCTTCTTACATAGAATCCACTAACTTACATGCTCATTGGTGCTCATTAACATTGGTACCAGTTGCACATCCGATCGGAGCCTAAGAGTTTGGTGCATCCGTTCGGTAGCAATCGACGTTTCTTTCAACGTTGCGTAGTGAGTGATTAACGCCCAGCAATGAGCGTGTAAATAACTTGAAGCATGGAGCCCTGACAAGGTACGAGTCCGCCGCTTGACATGAATGACTGAGTCGCTTCTGGTTATGTTACTGGAAATTCAGCACAGCCACACCTTCTTACCTTCAAATTTTTGGCACGAACTGGCGACCAACGCGCAACTGTGATAGGCCCACTAAAGATGAGTCCCTTTGGGGGTGCAGTTCCAAGAATTTCAAGTCTGGATCGGATCGGTTCTGGGACATCCATGTACAGCTGGGAAAGTGTTCCTGCGGCTTCCCAAAACGTCTGGTCGAGACTACCAGTCGGCCGAGTCGGGTCTCTTCCCTAAGACTATCGTGCGATCATAGTTCTAGAATCGCTATAATGTGTGTATAATATGTTTACCACATAAGGTTCTTTGGGCCGCACTCAAACCCACCTATTTTCACCTGCAGACGCGATTAGTTGCAGGGAATCTCCTCATCTCCCCGGACCCAGGATGAATGTTTTTAATCCTCGCATTCTTGATGCCAGCATCCGCGATGTGACGGGGTGCCTGTCCGACACTCAAAAGGCCGATGTTCTGCTCCACGCCTTGCAGCATTTGCCCTCTGAAGGGTATGTGACTTCCAATTGCTCTACTTATAAAATTTAGATATTTATGCATCACAAAGGTCCCGAATTGTCATGGAGAATGCTGTTCAATCATTTCTCCAGGTCTCGGGCGTTCCGCCAGCAGATGTAGCAAGAGCTCTTTTGTTACGTGCCAAAACCCGTTTAGCAGCTGGGTACCGAACTTCCGCACAACAAGGTTAAATTCATGTATGCCGTTGGGTCTCGTACGAGGTACTGACATCAATATCTTTCAGATTTACTGTCCGTGCTATGTTCAGATCCGGGAAATCAAGACGTTAAAGCTATAATACAATCTGAACATTTACGACAAGAAATGGTAAGTTTGCACAACTCTACAATACGTGCGATGGCCATTTAGCAAACACTCTCAAGCTTATTCGAGAACCTGATGGTCCCCCTCGGTTTTCCGCTGAAGTCTGGAGAGAAATTGCTCTCTGTCTTCCCAAGCGTGATCTCAAGTCTCTTTTGTTGGTTCCACATGCGCTATCTCGCATCGCAAGTCAACTTATTTTCCGCGAGATCGATCTACACTTCACAGCGTCGCCGGATCTCTCTAGAGTTGAGAACAGATACAGGAACGTCCATGACGACCAAGACGCGCGGGAGCTCGACGCCTGGCACTACCAGCGAAGTGCGGATATTCTTACCCGCATTCTTGTAGATCCTGTCTTTGCCTCGCAGGTCAGAAGCTTATGTGTGTATGCCGTTGTTTCCGATGCATCACACACTTTGGCATTCCAGACTGGTTTGTGGTCATTCTTCAGCGCTACTCTGTCTCAATCCCTCCTAGGAATGTTAATCAACTCTTTACCTAAGCTCTGCAACCTTCGCAGCGCGCATTGTTCAGGCAACAAAGAATTGATCAGCCGTATGCTCGAAACGATGTGTGCCTCGAATCATCGTCTGTACAGCCTGTCCATTAAGTGCGTCATTTCACATTTCCTTGTTTCCCCAAAACGGCCTGACTTCTACATAGTCTCGTTAATCGTTCAGGCGACATTGACATCCCACCATTCAAGCACATCACACATTTCTCCATAACCGCCGACGGAGGGGATAGTAAATCCACCCATGACTTTATAGCCCAAAGCCATGACAACCTGCGCTCGCTGGTCCTCAAGAACGCAAACTGGCAATTCCCAGCAGATGTAATCTCCGTCCGCCACTTGACGACCATCGAGTTCGAAGGCTGTTTTTCCGCAGACAGTCAGGTCTTCTCAGAGATCTTGTCCACCGGCCACCAGTTAGAGTCACTGACGTTGTCAGGTATTCTGGAGTGCACTCCATCAGCGACGTTCCGCTTGTATAGGTCCTCGCTTCCGTTCCTGAGGCACTTTGCTCTCAAGATTGTCAGTCTCCATCGACATATTACGGACCGGGACCTCGTGCCTGCCATCTCGGAATTCTTGAGAGACCGCAAACATCTTTACTCCTTCCAGCTCACCGTGCCTAGCACAGATCATCGTCGCATTGGTTTTGACGCGTCTGCTTGGGGTGTACTACCTTCTCTATCGAACCTCCGCAGTCTTTCTATCACCTATCCCAGAGATCTTTCTCCCTCGCTAGCAGGGTGGCTTATTCCGCGAACTGTTCGTGCGCTCAGCATGGAGATCACGGTACCGCCTGCGGAAGACCTTCTTCTTTTTATGAATGTGAGTTGGGATGTCTGTCATTGACAAGAAGAGCCAACAGCATTAATGTGTTCATTATAGCAATTGCGTCCCGGAGTTCCGCCCCTTCTCACGTTTGTTGGTATGATAAACTTTCCGATACGCTCCGTCATCAACGTGGTCGAGCAAGGCTTCTCCAACGTGCGAGTTGTGCGCATCGACGAGAATGTTTGGAGTGTGATTCATCTAGAAGATGGGGTGACAGAGATCGAGCAGTGGCCATATCGAAGAGTGAAGTACCATACCGCAGCGTGGTTGGAATCCCTTGGTTGTGAAGACGCAATACGGCATTTGGTATGAGAAAAATGGGAAAGGTTTCAAAGACGGGATGTAATTTTTCGATATGTAGCTCTATTTTCCGCTCACTGAATGGCTTTCTATAGGGTCAAAAATTTCAGTAGTACATAATACATTGCTTTGGAAGGAATGCCACCGTGCCTACCTACCGTTAACATCGTGGTCTAGTCGCAACTGGTCCTGCAACGAGCCGAGTCATTGTTGACGTCACAGAGTGTGCTCTGGTTTTTCTGCAACGGTTGAAAACCCACGCGGTGGACGACCTGCTCATCGTCTCACCAACCGGTTTCAAGCGATGGGAAGATGAGTTCACGAAACACAGTCGTGTAGATCCGCCTCCATACTGCGTGGATACGTGACCACGCTTTCAGTGATAGGATGCTATGAATGATGTGCCAACCGGAAAGCGGCACCCAACTATCAAAGTCGTTTGGGCGCCCGTCTTCCTCCGGAAGAACAGGATCTCATTCGCTTAACTGCTCTTTCCAGTGAATCTCGCCAATCCAATAAGGCTACCTTACGACTTCGACGATCTTACTGCGCCAATTAGCTTGTGATATCCTGCGTTCATTGGCGCCATATTAATGTTCGAATTCAAGGCGTCAGGGTACACACCATGCGTGTACCGTGCTGTTTCCGTAATCATCGCTCGGGTATGCCGTGGTCGGTGGTCGGTGGTGAGAAAACTCGCTGAGCAGGCTCAGATTAATGAGAATACTAATGACCATGTTCACCGGAGCGTCATTGTCGCATTTCAGGCGCCGTAGTGGACCCTGGTGGACTGTTGCGCGTCTACAGCAGCCTCGTTGTCTACAACAAGGCTGCTGTATTTCGAAGTGTGGGATGCAACTCTTTGGCGACTTGAAAAGACCAAACGCCGATAGGAATGCAGCAATTTCCGTCACTCGATGGACACTGTTCCTGACAGGAACGTTCGCAACGCTCCTTATTTTCCGTAGGTTTTGCCTGTCCCCACGATGTTGCTATAGCTGACCAGGACACAGACAACCACATGTCATACGTCGTCCTCCAGCAGATGCCACGTGTCAACCGTAAGTTGGAGAGTTCTACGTACCTGCAGCACACCTGATATTGAACTTAGAGCTCGAAGCCCATCACCTCGGTTACCTGCTGCACAGCTTACCCCACCCAGTGCCCAGTTCACGCTCGATAGTAAATCGACTAACCCCTCTCATTCCCCTGACATTAAATCATCTGAGCAGTGAGTAAACCAGTGGTCCCCTGTGCGCGCGCTGAAAACTTTCTTAGATTGCTGCAGCAAATCCTCAACACTCTTCAGAATTCCAACATCGTGGAAAAGGAAGCAAACGATGAGAGATCGCGGTTCTGGACCGTATACCAAAAGGTTGCGGCACAACACGACAACGAGTTTTTGGAGCACTATGATGGTGATATGGATATTGTCTTGATTTTCGTGAGTCCATACTCGCGCGTCAACCACAGCATAATGACTAGTCTCTAGTCTGGCCTATTTTCCGCAGTGAATACGGCATTCATCACCACCATGGGGCCCAGCGACGCTACTACTACAGATGCCTTATTGACGCAAATCATCACGCTCATGGTAATGAACAGCCAGGGAGCCCCTATCACAGATAACTATCCGCTTCCCGTCCCACCTGCATATTCCAGCGGGCAAATATGGTTCCAGGACTCTAGCTTATGCCAGCCTTTCCTTCAGCCTCCTTGCTGCCTTCGGCGCCGTTTTGGGCAAGCAGTGGCTCCGCTTTTATAAGCTGAAGCGATTTGGGGGTGGATCCCTCGAGGAGCGGGGCAAGAGTAGACAGCGAAAGCTCGACGGCCTCGAGACGTGGCATTTTGATGCCGTGCTGCAAACGTTCCCCGTACTTTTGGAAATCTCATTATTGCTGTTCGGCATTTCTCTGTCCTCCTACGTGTGGACGCAACAACGGACCATCACTTCTATCATCATTGCGACTACGGTGTTCGGCTTCCTGTTCCACTCGTGCACCCTCTTTGCATCCCTTTTATCTCCATTATGTCCCTTCCAAACGCCAGCTACGTTAATCCTTCGCATGGCTGGTGCATTCATGTGGGCAGGAAGCATATTTATCAAAAACAACGACAGAGACTTTCACACACTTGGCACGAGCTTTCGCTCTTTCCTCCGCGGCATCACAGTGTCTATCTCTAGGCTAATACAGCGACTGCTTAATCCCAAGACTTCCAGTGACACTGGAACGGAATCTGCCGTACAGTGGGTACTTGCGACATCCACAGATCCAGATAACATCGCAACTGCAGCCTCACTCATACCCACCATTACATGGTCACCGAACTCAGACATCCTGTCTTACTGTCAGCGACTTCAAGACACATTTGTGCGCTGTTTCGATGCTGATGGCAATCTGCGGCCCTCAGCGGAAGATAGAGCAATCGCATGTGGGCGAGCTTTAAACTATTTGTGTCTGACTGTTCCTCCGATTGGAGATGATTCCAATACTCGAACTGCTTCCCCGCAGTTGAGAATTTGGCACCAGTGGCGCAGCATCATCCTTCCACAAAGCTTTGACCGGTGCAAGACCCTTGCCTGCCAACTGTCAACATCATCTGCCCAGGATAGGCAGAGATGTCAGGCAGATGTACGCACCGCATTGCGCATGATGATTGCTACTGCTGGGGACGGATTCATCCATCCAGACCACGACTCAATCATTTGGCGTGGCTGCTTCACGTGGAGCGGCGACCGCCGTACAGCAGCTGATTTCGATTGGCTGGTCGACTACCTCGTGTCTCGCCCTCAGGATCACACCGCGATAGGAGATGCTTTATTAGCGCTGAGCGCTATGAAGGGACTTGGGACCCATGATCGAGCATCCGCTTACCTACAAGCACTCATATCTTCCATGAAATCATACAACCCTCATCGTCTTCGTTATGCGGCTTTACGAGCTGTTTCGGAGTCTCGAATGAAACTCGCCAACATTGATGCCATAGAGGACAAGAAGATACGCGATTTACTCCTTACGGAATTGTCCCCTGCTCTTCTGACGGCCATCAGTCCAGACACAACTCGTGCTGCTGGACGTCGCGGAGGAGATGAACCCGAGGTCAACTTCAACTATTGGCGAGACGACACTTACCTACGGCTCATCATGGTTCTTGCTTCCAACATCGAATGGTGCAAATGTCTAGTCGCTGATCAACATATCGGATACTGCATATCCATTCTAAATCATCTCGATGAGCACTCGCCCGCGCCCTTCCATCTCGCTGCAATATTCGGGCGAATTTATGCTTCGAGTTCGGACACGGCTCCGGCAGCGTTTGAGGCAGTTGCGGACGAAGACTTCCTGTCCCTTGCCAAGTCAGCTTGGCAGACCGCATTGGACTTGAAGCTCTATGATGAAGCCGAATGCATCAGTGCTTTCCCGGCTGTTGTCCGTTGCACGGGACAGAAGGATATTCCAGCAACTGACCTTAAGGACATTCACAGGAATGTCGGTCTAGTGATGGATAAGCTGAAGAGGCGAAACAAGTGTCCCGAAATCACGTCTATTATCCGAAAATATTATACTACATTAACCAATTTGATCAAGACATAGCGTATGTTTTGTTGGATGTTCAACGTCGACATTATGTTTCTTTGTATTCCTTTCTCTCATTCGTCCATCACGGACTCTGTAGTATAGCTTATAACCTCGCTGTATCGCACTGTTTGTACCTCAGCGGTTCTTTCATCAACGCTGAGGTATAGTTCTCGTTCACTTTGCACGCCGTCTCTCGCTCATGTTATCTTGTCTCTAGACTCGTCTCTTAGGTACTATTCAATGTCATAGCGGTTCTTTCATCAACGCTGAGACTCGTCTCTTGGACTTCAACTTACATTATGTTTTTCATACATCCGTGCTAGTGCTCTTACTTAGTGTAAATTGTAGTCCCTCGATGGATGACAAACTTATAATTATCACGGGCCCGAACCTACGTATCATTGTCCCGACTAGCGTATATCAAGACTCCACTTGATCGTTTCCGCAACATCGATTTCTGTGCCAAATTTCCAAATCGCTCTTGTAGAATGGTCATCGGTCGATCTGACTCTCTCAGATGACCCGATGAGCTTATCCACTAGTCGTGCGACTGGCATACAACTCAGACTGCGCACTTCACCACATCAACGGCATGTTCTGTTGGAAACAGGTTCACCCGATCACCTGGCACGTTTTGTCTAGTAGAGGTGACAATGGCATTTTCCAGTCTCTTCAGAGGTGCTCCACTTCAGATCATCAGACGAAGACAGGTCAGGAATAGACAACGATCTCAACAGTGGCAATTAACAACACTATCAATAATCGACATGTCAACATTTAGACCATGTGCGTGAGATCTCGTTGTCGATCATCATTACAGACACCTCATAGCAGGACTCGAGATGCTGTTTCTAGACGAGAAGCAGGGATCAATCCCCCTACTGTTCCTTTCGCAACTGAACAATAACATCAAGAACGATAAGTGCAGGAGCCTCGAGGCAACTGATGGTGACGCGCAAGATCGGGACATTCATGTCTGCTATAATAGCCGACTCGCAGCTGCCAGCATGACTTGGAGTAATATTTTCGGCTGGCCAAATACGCATTTGAAGATCGAACGTCAAATTCTGTTCTGCTAAAAATGCGCTTATCACGGGAAGGACCTTGTTATCACTGTCTATCTGATTGCAACTTGGCGGTGGCGTTTCAAGCGTCCGACTCCCGAGTCCCCACTGAGCATCATCGGGTACCCTGACTCGGCGCCAATGATAAAAAATGAAAGAACGAAGTGCTGTCGCGCTATCTAACGTGTACGACAGTTAGATAAACATTTGGATCTAGATTGTCCGTTCTCGCCTTCCGCAATCCAGCCATTCCTGTTATATGGTTGAATGAAGCCTCGCGGCAGAATCACGACGATCTCGTGAGAATTAAGGATCAAGCCTGATGTCTCGGCGAGGGAAGGTTTGCTTGTTTAGTGATAGGAGGTTGTGACACTCACCGTTGAAGAGAGTGAGAGGCACACTCCGCATCTGCGTATGAGGTCAATCTCAGTAGCGTAATATCGTCCGCCGATACACTATTCGAGCACCTCCCCGGGTTGACAGAGCTCAAATAGCATGAGTGGAGAGTCAAAGAATCAATTCGTATTCAGGTGGATTCATTTATGAGCACCACGAGGCAGGTTTAGCTTAGACATGAGAAGACAAAGCCTTGTTGAGATGAGAGATGAGTCAAAGCTTCCATGGTGCCGATATGGATCAAAGAAGCAGTGGGGGCGTGGGGATTTAGTATTACGCCCAAGATACAGCTGCTCAGCGAACCTACTCACGCAGACCTACCGCTCAGCGGAAGATATGGAAGTAGGGAACGCAAGCAATAATTCTGTTCCGCAGTCCAGAGCTTCGGGATATGGCAATGAAAGATACAAGTCAATTTCGGCGCTACCATCAGGGTGCGGCGTATTTAAGTCGATGGATGCAATTGTGGACTTCTATTACTAACGTTCGACAAGCACTATGGCGCAGAGTTGATGTGTCGCGATTAGAGCTCTGATAGATTCATAACAGCCAATGATTCAAGAACATCTGTGGAGCCAACCCTTAGAGATCTCCATCTTTCACGTTGAAATGGAGCAGGACAAACATATTGTATGCAAAGGGGGGTGGGGGCTCAGAAATCTCCATCGGCGGCCACACTGATCTGCTGTATGACCAACGTACAATAGAGATCCAGACGTTCGATGATCTGAGATCGGCCAGACTGCGACGTTAGGCCCGATGATCTGAATCACTACGCACTTGAATAGCGGAGATGAAAGGACACGTCAAAGGGACAGAGGCTTATTGCATAGTGATGTGGTCCATCATTGGTCCGTCGTATGTGGGAGTGGAATCATAGAACGCGTCGCTCTTAGTACTTTGGCGGGGGAAGTGCGGGTTGGCAAAAAAAAAAGATGTCCTATGACGGACGTTCAAAATGCAACGCGTGTCTTGATGACAAGCTTAAGTATCAGAGCTTAGCATACCGTAGCACCCGGTGCAACACCGTTCATGGTGATAGGCAAATACGTTATGACTCCGTTTGGCGTGAGGGGAATGGTTCAACGTCCAAGTGAGCACTTGACATTTGGAAACCTACAGAAATAGACGTAAATAGACGCAAAGAATCAAGATACTTTGTATAATTATGTTCATCATCCTTTCTACGATAATCAACGCGTTTCGCAAATACAAAAATCACGCTACAAAATTTAAACGTCTTGTCAATCTTGTATTTTTTCTCGGATTTTGCAAAGGTAAGCTGTTTTTATGAAGACTGCATCCTCGTTTCGCATATCGACTTCACGTTTAGCAAACGAAAATTGCAAGCAGCGCCCTGTTCGTACGGCTACCACTCGCATACGTCGTAACACTGTATACTCTCACCAGTGTATGTAGTTTTCGTCGTACGGTTGCTGCACCCATCATAATACATACTTTTAGCCTTCGATGTCCGACTTTTGGTGTGTGTCGCAAGTATTGTAACGGCAAAAGGACCTCAATCCAATCGCGATCGACGTGGTATCGTCATCTTCGAGAAGCGGATGACAACGAGAAGGAGAGCATTCGTCTGTCAAAGTTTTCTGATGCATTGCGCGCATCTGCTGCTCCGATACCAAGCACTTCAGCTTGTCCGAATGACTTGAAACGACCGAGTGAATTTGACGATGAAGATGTCCCCCGCAAACGCGATCGATCAGAAGATACAATGGAACAGGTGCGTATATCATTCACTTATACTTGTATCAAAGTCAAACTTTGTTATATTGACCTAGGACATCGATGCTAGCCCACCAGGCTCACCAGTACCACTGCTACATCGTAACGAGTCGCCACCATCTGATCTCACCCGCCTAGAGCCTGACTTCAATCCTCCTGGCGAACCTGAATTTAATCCTCTCGGTGAGCCTGACTTTAATCGAACCAGACTTTGGGCTAAGCCGTCGAAATGCCCTTGCAATTGCTGTAGCACGTGACGTAGGTATTACCGCCGTGATTATCTCTGCGGTACATCATTTACCCACTATCTCGTACCAAAATGATCCGCTCGTCTTCAATTCGTTCAGTGGTTGCAAATACTATTAGAGTTATCGTACGCGTTCTTCTGCGTTGTCTCATACCGAAATTTGTCGCGATTCTTGGGTGTCTGTTAACCCCCATTCTTGGTTGACCCTCACATACTTCTGCATCCACCACTGCGGTTACGGCTTCTGTGTGTCTGCTGTAGTGATTCACACTCGGGCAGACTATCCAGGAAGGTTCAGAACGCCGAAAAGCGCTCATCCCAATGCGTGTCATATGTGCCAAGTTTCGTCCGTTGGGGTTGATCCCGGTGTAGCTCGCCAGAAGGCATATGAATGTTGACCCTGCGGGCCTGCGTAGGATCGGAACATGTACAATCTCACACAAGGACAAGGCCTGTACGTCCGTGGAGCTCGCAACACAGCACAGGCGACAGCGCGCAGCTCGTCACCCCGTCACCGTCGGCCACATTTTCTTCTCATATCATCATATCATCATATCATCTCAAGGCATCTAATGGGTCTCGCAGGATTTAGGGAGGCGTACGAACACCGGTGTCGCCAAAAAAAGCTCCTCAACATGCTGAGGAGCCGGCTGTTATTGACGACTAACAGTATGATGCCGCAGATAAGTAGCTGAGCTCCAGACAAACGAAAATAACATCAAGGAGCTTACATAACATTTCGGTCGTGAACCCTGCATCCGCATGCTACTGCATCGTACATACCAACACGGCGTACCACCTTGAAGTAAGAGCATGCCGTGGGATTCCTCAGCAAATCTGCACAGTGCAGACAATGGCAATCATTATTTGGTCTTGTTCGAGCTCGAGCGACGAGGAGCACAAGATTGTTTGTTTGTGTTAGGATCTAAAGCTATTGGCTTCTTTTAGGGTCACCTTCGTACCGGACTGACTCAAAATCTGACTCAACTTTGATTCAAGTTGAAAGCGCGATCATCACATAGATGACTCCTATTCAACATTCTGAATCATCCAGCACCGCATCTCCTTTCCTACCTACGCCGCATGCGATTCCCTAGTCCCTGTACTATCATCCTCTGGATTTTGCAGGCACATATCCAATATGTCAACTCACTTCCACCCGGAGGATTCTCAGCTCATCCATGATCTGCACCGGCTCTCAAAAAAAATCGCCTAAGCTAGTGCGCTCGATGGTGTATAAAGCACCGTCCGATCCCTCCATCTCCATCCGAAGCTGGAAGATGAACGAGTTCAAGTACTATGACGTTCCATCGCCGTTTCAAACGCTTGCGAGAGGATTTTTCACCCGTGAACTTTGTAGTGGAGATCGCTCTGAGGGAGAGCCAAAGTACCAAATCGTAGCTCGAGGTTATGGTAAGTTTTTAACATCGGAGAGGTCCTGTGGACCGATGTAAGTCGTCTTCATGCCGAACTGCTGCCGCCGCCGCCTTGTTGGGATTCATATCACAGTGGTCATCTCTCTCTTTACATTCAGGACCAACATATATGCTGTCCCTCAAATCCAATGGATTCATAATATTCATCGCCCCTATTTCTCCTTCAAAGCTGATCGTCACGTCCAAACATGCGCTGGGACCGATGTAAGGCCCAGAGTGATGATGTACAAGCGAAAAAATCCGCTCCCATGTTCATCAAGAACGTTGACAGCCTCTTGAATCACCACGATGTTGTTATAGCAGACAAGTATTGATTACATTCAATTTCGTGATCGTCCTCGCACTAACTTGCTTCAGGAATAACCACCTTAGGCAACATCGTGATTCATTGCGCGAAGCCGTTGCCAAAATGGACCCCCCAGTTCGTCTCCTCGCGTTGAATTGGTCGTTCGATCAACCTCAAGCGACAATCCATCGTATATGCGGTGATTTTTCGCGTGGTGATAAGCACCAGACTCTTCGTGCTGATACCCTGACCAAGGCACATGAAGATGTCATATAGCAGTTTCTCCGTAATTCAGAGGAGCTTGCTGACAAAGAGGTAGACGTGAGCATAGAAATGGACCTCGAAGATGACCTTGAGCAAGCTGTAGACCGTGCAGGTGCGTCACCATCCTCGGACTTCGGTAGCCACGTGCAGAAGAGATCGACGAGGTCGTGTGCAAGGCCCGTAGCTACGTGCTTAAGACAAAGAAGCCTCGAGAAGAGAAGAAGAAAAAGAAAGATGAACAACCTACACCCCGCTATTTCGGACTTCTCCCTGAAGTCGATCTCATTGGTGTTATCGGAAAACAAATGGAAGAGACATCGTTCTGGAATGCTCTCGTTGCCGAACATCGTACCACTGTGCGCCCCCATATCACGGTAGTGCACAAGAACTCCCTCCCTGGTGCTACTGAACTTTGGGAGCGGTGCTCTCAGCTCCACAGGATGGCATTTCCTCCGTCGTTCACCTTCACTCTCGGTCATTTGGTTTGGAACAAATGAGTTATGGCCATTACTGTGAACGACTTCGAGCTTGACGGTTCACCGGACACCCACTCTTCTGTAGGCCAGGAAGGGAATGAGTTCGTGACAAAACTGTCGGAGGAAGTTCGGAATGGTTTGCACATAACAGCTGGAACAAGGGACCCAAATGTATCTACTGTTGAAGCGAAGGCTCTTGTGGAGGCATGGCGCTCTGGGAAGAGATCAGGAACTGGCTCACTCGACCTTGAAGGACTGACAGCGCGAGGCAGAATCAAAAGACTCTTCGGTTGAGGTTCCTGTGCTCTTGTTTGTTAAATGATGGATGCAATAAACATTTCCTCTCATCAACCCGCCATTAGCTAGGCAACAAGTCAATGCTTGGTAACATTTAGCGAAATCAAAACATGTGACGTTGACGCGTCAACACAAGTCAACACGCTCATCAGTTGGTACGGTTCTGGCACAGCGTCGGGCATGTCAGAGCTCCAAGAATATTGGTGTGTAGCTGATACGACTGCAAGCTTGGTTCTCCCCCCCAGTGTTAAGTACGACGCTAGCATGCTCATGAGTCATATGCACATTTTGAAGTCACGAAGACGAGTTCACACGCGTTCCGCCACTTGTGACTTGTCACAGACTCCTCCAGTGACACTGGCTACAGCCTCGAAGGTCGCAGATTATTTTTTTACCTGTTGATACCGATACTAAGTTCGCGCGGTTGAAGGACGTCCAGATTGGGGAGCAAACCAACTTGGCCATCATTCTACCACGCTGACCGAAGAACATGATAGTGGACAGAACTTCTGACTAGTTCTCCGTGGACATCGAAACACGACGATTATGCCCACACTATTCTTTCTCTGCGGAAAAAATGGCCGGTTCTCGCTGAGCGTCGAGGGCGTTGAAATGAATTTTCCGCATCAGAGTGTGGGGCTTCTGCAGATCTCATGAAGATGCATTGCCGTGCAATTCTTTTGGAGTCTGGACCCAGTCACGGTAGTAACTCAACTGTGAGTGTTCGAAAAAATCAAGAAGCTCACTCGAATCGATCATAACATTTAAGTAGTTAGCAAGTGACCGGATTTGCGGGGCCCGGAATTTTCAGGTGAAAGCACTTTTCGTGTAAGATGACACAGTTTTCATTGTTCTACCAGAATTTTCAACAATAACCTGGCAGTACTGATGTATTTTTGATGACAGTCCAATGATATTAATGTACTTTGGTTGTCTGGAGCTTTGACTGAAGTCATCGTCATGGCCACTTCCACCCGTTCACTTGGAGGTACAGGCCCCGGGGCCCAGGCCCAGTGACTGATACTTCCCATCATGCTCATCGAATGCAGTGACCGGCGGTGCTTCTGTGATTAAATTGTTTGCTTTAGCATCCGTTTTTCGTAAATACCACAAAGTCCTGAAGAAAAGGAAGCAGGAAGAAGACGATGAGGTCGAGCGCAATTAAATATACGATTGATGTACGATGATTTTTTGCTTCAACAGGCGGCTTGTATTCGCACCTGCGGGTGACTGTCTCACTGTGGATATAGCTATCATACCGCGAGATGTACAGGTCGATACGTACTCATAACCCAAAAGGTACCTAGTGTAAATTGTACTGCATAAAAGTGTGACACTGCAAGCTTGAAGTCTTCTTCGCTTGGTGTCTACTTGTCTCCTCGAGTCCTCTTGGTACAGACAACTCACCTCCCATTCATCCAAATGACTTGATACTCAGTGGGTGGCGCCACGGATCTTGACTGATCGAGGTAACTTAGCTATGCATAACGAGATGACGGTCTAGAAGTATTGTCGTACTATAAGTTATACTATGAGTGACAGTTTTCCCTTCATTTCGGCTTCGGTCAACACCATCGTGTCCCCCAGAAACTTTGGAACTTGGTCGATAAGCTTAGGGCTATCCTCTATCTTTCATCCCTCGTAACCGGTCCCCATTGGAGTGAATTTGCAGGATTCAGTTGAAAAGCTAAGGTGGGAACTAGCGGGAATATTGTTTTTCTGTATCATCCAATCATGACGATTTTCATTGCGCAGTGCAATTTCGAACGTGTTGTCGTTATTGGGATCACTCTTCTGGATGCGCAGCTGAAGTCTTCTCTGCTGCGGATGACCAGATCAGTTCTATTTATAAATTAGAGAATGTCATTTATAGAATGATAATGATAGGCTCGACGTGAAGCGCTGGTTGCGTCGAAAATGGACTCACAGATCAGTTTGACGTAAGATAACCTTCAACAGCCTTGAACCCGTACATCGTATCATGCTAGCAAGTTATTTCCGACAGGCTCAACAGATAATTATGATCGCTTTTGTGTCTGAAAGTAGGTGTTCTCATCTCCATACTACGATATTTTGGGACATTGACGTTCGGTATAGTATTCCACTTAGGAACCCATGAACCTCGGCTGCCTCAGGGTTGGCACATTCATCTGTTTGGGACATTTTCCCTGAAAAACGAAATAGGAACTTCTGCTAAGGATATTCGTTTCCGTGCCGCTGCCGTTACTAATATTCTAGGCTTTCACCTGGAATAAGTATAAGGATGGAACCTTTTCTGTATTGACCGTCTCAGACCCACGGCCCATTGAACCCCCTCCCCGCTCACATCATGCGAAATCTGCCCATTGAAGTTATCAGCGCCGTTGTTCAGAATGTTGCCACGACAGAGGATCTTCTCCATTTACGTAGCTTGAACTGGTCCTATAAAGAGCTGGTCACTCCCCGCGTGTTCAGCACGCTTCACATCAAAAATAGTATCCAGAGTGCGCAAAACTGCCACCAGATCATCGGTACCGCAAGCCTTGCCACCCATGTTCGAGAAGTCGTCTATGATTCTCGTGACGACGAATGTTTCCAACTTCCGCCCGACAACGTAGGCAAGTTGGTTCCTCTTCGCTCACATTTTATGGAGTCTAATTGGGCCATGCGCATGTAGATTCTAGCGATGTGCTTGAGGTCAGCGAGCTTGAAGAAGCACTGACCGAGGCATTTTGCGCAATAACCGCGCTTCCGAGGATTGACCGTGTCGTGCTCAACTTTTGGCCGTCGTTTCTCTCCCAGTCAGGGAGGGAGGTTCGTGAGACGCCATTCTGGTTCACAAATCGACAGCTCACCCTCCTTCACGCCATTCACCATGGCATGAAGACATCTCGTATGACCACATTGTTTGTCAACAACGTGATTTTGCCTGCCACATGTCACGACTTCATTTCGTCCCTCACGTCCTCGCCCCTGTCCCATCTATCAATATCCGTCGTGTCCAACGCTGAAGTCAGCGCCTGGTCAGGTTCCAAGAACGTCAACGGATCGCTTGGAGCACTCTTACCTCCCTCCAACCCCACATTGAAATCGCTTGTGCTAAGCAGCCCCCAGGGCCCCTATCACAGCCTCACAACTCGACTTTCATCATTCTACTATCCATCCCTCGAATCGCTCGTACTCGAAAATATCGTTTTCGATCAGATGCCCTTCGCTGATGGCGTTGAGGAATTTGTCCTTCGTCACAAGGATACTTTGCAGAGACTTGAGCTGCAATCATGCGCATGCCATATACCAGGCTCATCGACTGACGCCAGGCGGTGGTCGACCATATGGCAACGATGGGCTGCCGAGCTCACTAGCTTGAGAGAGATCGTCGTTAACAACGACGGTCATAGTTATGTCCTCCTTGATGCCGATCAGGGCTGTATTCCTCATGGACTACTCAGCACCACGACAACTGAGGATGATTCTTCAAGCTTGCAGATGTTCAAAGACACCATAGCAGCTGGCCGAGTTGTGGTGATGTAATTAATTTCGATGGATTCTGTATATACGCCCAATGTATTCTTAGACTTCACTCAATGTTTTCTGTACACCCTTTTCCAATCAAGCCTGACGAAAGGTTGTTTAGAAAGCGTGACCATTCACTCACAAACAACGGTGTGGACCAGTATACATATGTCGAATCGCAAAACTCACGGACATCCAGCAACATTTGCTTAGTGATAAGTTCGATGGCCTGATTCATCAATGCATCATAATTCAAATGTTTGCCAATTCGTTGTAAGCTTTTCCAATCCGCAGCGGAAGTTCTTAGTAGACTTATGATATCAATCCGACCATCGTTCATCAGCGGCAGTGGTATAAACCGCCCTGCAGGCGTTACAAGGGAGTGGAACTAGTTGGAATTGGCACCTTAAATAATAATACAGTATAGGCATGTTCCCCGCATGCTCACGAGTTACGGTGAGCATCTTTTGGTTTCGCGTTCTGTGTGCCAGAGTTTCTCCTATCTTGTACCCGATGATCGCCTCGAAAAAGCGTTCTCTAATCTATTTCCATTCTCCCACCCGTCCAAGTCGGATCTGCTACGCAAGGCGCGACATGAAAGGTCGCCCTACATACCTATCCGACCACCGGAACACATCACACCCCCGCGTCAACCCCCATCGTCATACCCTTTCTCTTTCGCCGCCTTTGCTCCTTCTGAGTTCTCCCAGCAGCGACCATCGCATCCCGATCCCCTTCTCGGTGTTTCAACTTATCTTAGTACTACTAGAAGCCCCTCAGCTCCATCATCCGCACTATAACAAGTATCCGCAGTACTTATCCTCCTACTTGGGCCGTTCTCAACCACGAATTAGGAGAACTTCTCACTCGAGTATACCATTGGAGTCCTACCTACGGAGGGAACGGAAATGATAAGCGGATTGCTGCTGCGTCTCACCGGGTTGTCCAACGGTGGTGCTTGAATGGTGGATGGTGGCAGGGCGGAGTGGATTGGTTACGCGATGGCGGTTACAATATGTAGTCGTACGGCGCGACAATTTGTTTTGTTTGCCACGCGCGGTCATAACCATAGTAATATTATCAAGTCGTGGTGTACCACCACATGAGCCACCCGCTCACAAGTTTGAGCTATACTTATAGTGAAGTCGTGGAACGCAAACTGATGGTTGTGCATCAACAAGCTCGATGCCCAGATAATCTCGCCGTTCGCATAGCCAAAGGCTCGACAACACTCACATACTGATCATCTTTCGCTACGGTCATGACTCTCGTTTCACCTGCTGACAGCTGTATTGCAACACTTAGCTAACAAAATCTAATCATATCAACCCATCTGAAGAACGTGTACACTCTGACCCAATCCCAAGGATGAACGTATCAAATGCGGAAAACAGATGACCGGTGACCCCGCGCTGCTGTCGTCAGATGGGGCCACGTATGACTCTGAAGAACCACGATATAAAAAAACAACGACGTCTCTGGAGCCAAGGAATCAAGACAGAAGGAAAAGAAAGAAACAAGTCCTTCGCGTAAACAAAACACCTTGTTAAAGTCGTCACGAATCTCCGGCCATCGCCTGCGCGCTCTGCTTCAAGATTTGTTGAATGGCTGGGTTGTTGGCACTAAGTACAGGGATCAGTGAGTCGGGGTGTCTATTGATGCCATAATAGAGTGCGTACATAGAGTAACCATCATTAGGCGAGTCCCCCGTCTCTGTCGGGGAGTCGGTTGTGTCTAACTGGATGGTAGCGCTTGACTGGGTAATGCCGGCGGAGCCCCACTACATCGAGTGTCAGTCAAATGCATCACAAGGAAGGGAAGTCTTTACCTGGTACTGCATTATGCCTGCCAACCCAGCGCTGTTGCCCACTGCAATAGAAATTAGTTTAGTTAGACATTGTCACTCTGGATTTGCGTACTGGTCAAAAACGAGCTGTAGCCATTCTCTTGCTGCGTGCTATTGGCGAAAGTTGTCGTCGCGTTAGTAGCGGCCATGACCGCTGCATGAATAAGAACATGAGTACATTGCTCTTGACAGTTGAACTGCGACGACACTACCTGTATTGGATGCGTAAGGGGCATAAGTCGCGTTGAACGGCACGTAGTTGTTCAAATTGTCTTGGGTGACTAGACCGAATCCATTGAGGACAACAGGCTTCCCAACGCTGAAAGGAATGGAAGTCAGTCATCGCCCGAGACATCAGTTTCAACTCACGCGGCAGCAGACTGAGCCGATTGGTTGATCCACGCAAGACTCAAGTTGATTTTGTTTTGGACAGGGTCAACATTTGGGTCATTGGGACCGTACGATTCCTGGTCTGGAAATACCTGGAAGGAACCGAAGCCTATGTTGGGGATATTAAGGATGTCCTGGCTGTCGACACCCGATGAACCATCCGTTGTGGGGTCAATCGAGCTGGAGACTTCTCGTGTTGCTGAAAAATGATCAGGAACTTTACAGTTCGATGGCATGGACCAAGGCACCTGTAGATACCCAGCGACCCCTTATCATGACCCCATCCTCCTTCAGGGTTCCTGCGCGCTTAGCGGCTGCCCGATTGCGGCGTCGCGACTCAGCACGCTGCTTTACGATCTGCTCTTTTGTTAAAGGAGTGACTCTGCTACGCTTCTTGCCAGGTGCGGGAGAGGGTGTAGGCGAAGCCGTTGGCGTAATAGGGTAGAGCTTCGGACAATCTGTGCACTGGAATCCAGACGTTCTAGAGCGAATTGAGAATCACACCCGTAAAGCGATACCGTATAAGACCTACCCTGCGGAGACCATGTGATTGGGATCGAGGGACGTAATAAAGGCAGCCATTATAGCATGCCACGTCGTGATGGTTTGTGTAGTGCATGTTGCACTAGTGGGCATGGTCGAGTTGCATCTGTTACATGGCGTGTTAAATGTTCCACATCGGGAAATACCTGAGGGTGAATCACCTAGCGTCATTCGCAAGCTCCCAGCTAAACACAGCAGGGCTGTTGAAATAGCGTAACACTATTTGTTTGGTGTAATTCTGGAAGGCCGCCAAGATTTTGTCGCTCGTGAAAAAATCATCGTGATTCTTGAGTGCGAACTGGCGGACATAGAGATCCATACCACCTGTAAGAATGGTAATTTGACTGTGGCTTGATTGAACACCAAATGTTGGCTTACCATAGTCATTGGAAAGAGAGTTGCGCGGCGGAGTGACATATGCAAGCACCTGAGTCGAGGAACTGTCAGTGGTTGTATTAGGCATTGGGTTCCAGTTATTCGTCAATGACATGATGACATATAGTCCTAGCTGTTCTGCCATTTGAACGATTGTATCGAGTTTCTGAAGTCCAGTCGGTCCGTCGTTGATTGTGGTAGTGCCATTTTGTACCAACTGAAACCACGTTCCACTCTCCGGAATGGTTTCCACGTCTGTCAATCACGTCATTAATATAATCACGAAACTCAGTAGACAGGCAGTGAACGAACCGTTAAATGCCCAAATTCTGACGACCTTAATCCCGGTATCGGAGACGTTCTTCAGGACATTCCAGATATCATCATTCGAGTTCAACGTCGGCAGCCAGTACAAGTTGGTCCCGATGAATCTAAGTGAGCTATTGGTGCAAAGTGTTTGCACTCCACATACTGATAAAAGTAGATACTCTTACCTCCCGTTAACAGAGAATCCGTCTTTACCAGAGTTCACGAACGAACTGTTATCTCTCTTGGCGATCGTCCTGGAGGGAGCTGCAGCCAGACATGAGCAGAACGAGGTTAAAAACCAAAAGTACAGTAAAAGGCGCATGGCAAGCACTACTCGGGAAGAACGGAGGCAGGAAGCACTCGGGCGTCCATTCAAGGTTATAAAGCCCTTTGGCAGGTGGGTTGTGCATGGAGGCACCGCACGACATGCGCTTCACAGGCGCCAAATGAAAAAAGACCCTATTCGCTTCCACTCGGGCGTTAATCAGATTCTTTCAGCAGGTGTCGCCTTTTGATTAATTCTTTGGCGGAAGGAAGGCGATGACGAACGTTCTGCAGCAGTGTGCAACGGCTATACAGAATACATGTTCCCTGTGCTAGGAAAAACAGTGAGCGCGAGGACGCATGGTGTTGCGACATGCACAAGAGACTCAGGCATCTTCGCCCTTCTAGGTGGTGCGCAGTTGCTTCTAGCCTATCGTCATATATGATAAGTATCAAGTACGTACAGTCATGTGGACCCGACTCACCACTTTACACTAAATACTTAGATAGTACTTACATCAATCGATATACAATGCCGTAACTTACTATGAAGCTACAATCAGTGGAGCAACTTGAAGAGCAAAACTTGACTGATAGTAATACACAGGTTGATCAACGTTGCCAGTCGGACTATCGCACAAACTTCCAGTATGTGTTTATTGCAGAGCTGAGATGTCAATTGACTACCCCGAATTCTTGCGCGCTACAAGATGAGGTGAATTCTGTGTCACAGACTTTGTAAAGGTAAGAAAGGGTTGCATAAATACGGCATCTACATTCGAACGTTCTAACCAATTAGCCGCTGGCAGGTATAGCGCTCGCGCTGCACCATTCAAACCCAGCCTGATCAATGACACCGCCGATTTCAACATTTCGAGTCCTACACACAATGGACCTCTCGGCTGAGTCCAGACACTCGTGATTGACGCGGAACGTTTCGTCCCGGAGAATGAGGCTTCGTGATGCATTATTGTTGGCTATCTAATCCCATCAATTTCTCTGGTGCGTCGTGGGTTCCTTGCATAAAAGTTTTCCCTTATATTTCTCCCATGGGCCATGACCACGGTATTTCTGGCTCTTCAGTAAAATGCATCCAACTTCTCAAAGCGTTCCTTTATAATAGCACAATTGAAAGTGCACACACTTGGACATCCTACATCGCCTCTTGGCTCTTTAACGCATGCAGATCAAAGCCCTGGTGTCCATCTGGTCTCGATTCCAAACGTATGTGCATACTCAACTATGCGAGTCGTGAAAGAGCATGAGATAGCATGGGAAATTCAGAATATGAGAGACGTGTTCGATATTTGCGCAGGAGGACACCAACAAGCGGAAAGACAAAAAACAGGTGCAGCCACAATAGGGCGGGGGAAGGCAGGTGGTGCAGGATGCGACGGATGGCGCTGAAACTTTAGGCAGGCGGCTGAGTAGCAAAGCGGAGCTGCCGCCGTGGACTGTGGGCACACAAAGTTATGCAACACATCAAGGTACATTGGAAAACATTCCGACCTGCGCGCAGGAACCAACGCTTCTTCGATCTTGACGCATCGCACGGTCATCGGCCCGCGACTCGACTCCGAGTGCCACGCATCGGATCAATGGCTCAACTCGCTGGAGATGGCGTGATACACAATTAAGGCGACGCGGCTCCCATTGCTGGGCCGTCTAAGCAGCCTCTTATATACAAGAGTGACGGATTATGGAGGATATCTGTAATAATTACCCAAGAATTATCAGCTAGCGATCGAGACAATTTGAGCCACTGAGCACGTACCGCAGTAGTCTACGCAAATGACGAGGGACATCCACTAATATTTCGCTGGCAGACGTAGGTTCTTTGTGGGTATTCCCCTTCCTTGTCTGAGCCAGCTCAGGTAGAGTGATCATTTTATATGTCCACATAGCATAAGCATATCTTGAGCTCGACGATATTCAGGTGAGGGCATGCCGGGTAGATATCATGATGGAAGACTGAAGTTGAGGCTCGTACTTGAATAGCTGCGACAGAATTGCTATTTTGGTTGTAAAATGTATTTAAACTTTTGCCGACATATAAAAACCGTATATCGTAGAAACTCGCTACTTGAACCTTTCCCCAAGGTATACACTTATTCGAATCGGTCCTCACTGTTCGAAGTCTAAGTCTCCAATGTACAAGACTCTCCAGAAACTCTCATTCTTTTGCGTCATGAACCGATCAGATAAGCACTTGTCAAGTAATTAATAATATAATATCTAACAAGTTGTACCTGTGGCGTCCGCTAACTCCACTCCCATTCAGCTGTGCTTCTGTGTTCCGAACCTCCGCACTCTTACCGCACTCGTAGTAGAACATTCACCCAGTTTGTCCGCGTCGAATGATGCTTCTCCCGGATTGTTTTCGCTCTTGGCAGTACCTTGCGTTCATTTTAGTGATTTTGTTCTCGTCGCTGATCCCCGTTGATGCCTGTAAGTACCTGTTCTCAGTGCCGGGGTGGTTCTGATAGAAGACCGGGCTGTTCCTCAGACTTTGTAATAAATCAGCCAGGCTCATCTACATTGTGGAAGAATGGCTCTCCTTATCCGGTTTCATGGACGATGGGCTTGTTGAATGGCATTGAGACCTTCGATATAGAGATAACAAGACTCAGTCGGGTTGGAATATATTTTGTGGCGAAAGAACGTGAGTCTTCCCAGTCCGTTGTAGGAAAGCTTCGATAGATAGGCTAATCTCTTCCAGTGCCTATCACTATGAATAGCCTTAATGTTGTCCTCCAGGACGTACCGGCAGGCGACGACTACTTCTTGATTTGCCTCAACTCCACCGCCGGCATCACATACTCTGTTTCATCCCGCTTCTCAGTCGTGGACGCCAATGCCACAGGGAGCAACCCGAGTCCCGCTTCAGCCCCAACAGTGACCGTCAGTGGCATACCCAATCCTCTATCACAGTTCGCGCAGACATTCGGGCCCTCCACGAATGGCGTGGTGCGCCCGGGATGGGCCGGTATCAGGAACCAGGTCACAGCCATTAGTGTGGCTGTGGGAGCTGCATTGGTTGGCGGTGTTATCACTTTCTACTGATTTTTAGAACCTCGTAATATTTATATATTAGTGCTCTCTTGCATTTCATGGACAGATTTTCGGCAATCGACCGGTCACTGGACATCGTATATGTGTACATTCATTTAGTTATTATGCAGTTCCCGCTACCCTTTGTAGTGGGTCTTGTACTGTCTGGTCGTACTAGTAAGATCTCTGACAATGTTGGAATCATGACGAGCAAATAGTAGCTGGTGATCAGTTCGTACATGGCGATGTCAGTAATTTAATTCCGCTGTCCACGATATTGCGCAACAAAAAGGGATATCAATGACTTAGTACGTGCTCGTGGGACATGCCTCATCAGCCCCTACGTCAATCTTCCACCTGTAAATCTCTACCGGCACCGCAGCAAGAGCAACCAGGAGAACAATGAGGATGAGTTTCTTTATTGTCTTGGATGGTTTATACGTCGCGGCTCGCGCGCGCAACTATCGTCGTCGCTTCGAGAATCCTGTCCACTTGTCCCTCTGTAACATCAACCTTTTAGCGGTTCCTCAACCGATTGTGAGTGCGTTCCTCGGGCCGTACATATACGATGTCGGATCGAGGCACAACTGAAGGGCTTTGCCTACAGCCTCCGACTGTGCCAGTGAGGCCCTTTCATTGCGGTCAAGTCAACTCCTATCATACATGCTACTAGTCATAGGTGGGTCGTTATTACAGTCATTCGCAGCAAAATTGATACATGAACATGATTTCTGTATAGAAACGTAAGCAAAAATAAGCTCAACTGTCGGCGAGGGTAACATCCACCTTAACGTTAGAGATCTGAGGGACAAGGGTTGCGACGCCAGTCAAGATACCACCTCGGCTCCCCTTCCAAACTGGTGAACTTGAGGGCGAACGCTTTCTCGTTCTCATGTACCACTCTTTCCGGGGCGTCAAAATTGCAGTAGAAAGACATGACTATGATGGGTTTGCCCTTCCTGCGGCCATACACAGGTATCAGTCGAGTTGACTCCCCGAAGATCTTGCGTATGACACCGATTATGAAGATGCGATTCCAGGCATGGTCAATCCCCTCGCTCCCAGTGTAATCCTGAGAAAGATCAGGGTAGAGATGCCTCTGTTCTTGCACGAAGGCTTCGAGCTTTGCACAGTCGATGGGATAACCAAACCAGAACAAAAGCGGTCTGAGTTTCTCCGAAGGGGGAGGATAACACACTTCGGCAGGGAGCGTATCAAGGGAGTCAACGCCATGCAGCTGGCGCGCATCCTAATGAGGATTGTACATCGTGAGGATGAGGTCAATATACAAGTATGCAATAAGCATACCATGCGCCGTGCGACTACTTCAGGTGCGAGCTCGAAAGTGATAGTTGACGTAGCCATCGAATTGGCAAACTCGACACAGGAGGCCCTGCATTAAATACCAGATGATCGCGTGATAGACATGCTTTTGACAATGGGGGGCAGCTGCGTCATTTACCCCTGGTCGACATTCTAGCCGTTGCCATGATGAATGACTATAAGTAAGCCTGGGCCGCCTGGAACGAGGCTCGTTGCGGCGTTGCCCTCTAGACCGACCCACCCGGAAGTGACATAATCATAATTCATAGCTCTCATCTAGAGGAACTTCAAACATAACGAGTTATGAGGTGCGAAGAGTCAATGTACAACAACATTTGTGACCAGCGGTCTGAGGTCTGAGGCCCAGGGCGATGTCAATGAAGCCAGCAGACTGAAGAAAGCAGCGCTGATAAAAGGGAACTTGATGCGAGACCTATCTTCTTACCCAAATAGACTAGACAGGCACTTGCGTTGATGATCGATGATGACTGGTATGCGTCAGTCAAGTCCTTGCATGCGAAAGTGCCAGACGAGGTATCCAATGGGATCGAGATATGTGGCGTGCATCGAGGTTGCTGGGAAGTTCAGTGAACGACAAAATGACTACCGCATGCAAAGTCAGTCAGTACTCCAAGACACGGAACATTTCTCGCCACACATATACATCGCAGCCTCGAGCAGAATAATCTCGACTTCAGTCGTTAAAAAAGGCGCCAGGAATCCAAAAATATACTGTCATGGTCATTCTTTGCATCGTAGCCGATGGTGCAAGAGTAGTCCCATCCACAGAGTACTGTGGTAGCGTAGCCCAAGCACACTTTACTAGCTCGTCTTTCTGCCTTTTGGATAGACGATGTCATCCGCAAATGGGAGACATTCCCGGTCAGATCATAACGATAGTATGCATTGATCACGCCGGGAGGGGAACTTCATGCAGGATGAGGTAGGACATGTAGGGCTTGCCTGCGGAAATCGGGCTTAGCCTTCAAAGCTTCAAGCTTCAACGTTTGGGTTCTGAGTGACCCTTGCAAAGGAGAAAATATTATGATGCGAAGAGGTGCAAGATGAATATTCCACTTACGTTTACGTGAGATCAGTTAACCTTCATAATATTTGTAATCAGCGCTTGCTACTAGGCTTAGATCCAGGATCCTGCTGGTTCTTGCAAAGTCTTAAAACATCCATCATGCCTCAGATTACGATTCTCAAGCGACCGAGGGAGGAAGCTGTCATCACTCAGCGGATGTTCTTCAAAAAGACCGCGAGAGGAAAAGTTATGAAAGGTATCTCACAAGTTTATCTCGTCACGATACTCCGTCTGTTCATGCCTGTTTCCGCTCAGTCTTACGCGAACGGTACCTTCGAGACGATATATCTTGTGGTGTTGACAGCTGTAGGGCATGCGATGCGACAGCGCAGACCGTCCTTCCGCGTTCTGGAGACACCACCCACAAACTTTTCCCCACTGGGCACTACATCCTGCCCGATACTAATGTTTTTCTTGCACAGGTATGCACATGAATGCGAGGTCGTGTACTGCGCTAAAACCTTACAGATGGACTTGATCGAATCCAATTACTTCACGGCCCCCATCATCATCCTACAAACTGTCATGGAGGAAGTTCGTCACCGCTCATTACCATTGTATAGTCGCCTCAAGGCTCTCACAACAACAGACGAACATAAAGTATGGGTCTTTTACAACGAGTTCAGGTCGTGAGTCATCTTCCCAAATGCACCCATGTTCATCGCTTTGTTGGTTGGCCATAATGTTGTTCCGCGACTCCATTGCTCCGAATTATGCTCAGTGTTTGATCTTGAGGTCGTTGTTCCATCATCTTTCAATCTTGACATTCTCCTGGGGTGTTCCAACTGTCGCTTATTGCTGATATACCCGTCGTAGAGAGACTGCTATCGTGCGAGAAGAAGACGAGACGCCGAATGACCGAAATGATAGAGGTTCGTGTATATTCAGATTTACATCGTTGGGTATACCGACAAAATTTACGTAGGGATCAGGAAAGCCGCAGAATGGTACAACGCGCATCTAACACTGGCACATCCTCCAATCCGCGGTCAACCAAATTTAACGCTACCCAAGGTTGTTTTGATCACAGATGACTTTGCAAATCGCCAGAAAGCAGATAAGGACAGAATCCCGTGCATTTCAGGTATGTATCGAGTGATGTATATTTTTCCTTGCTTTCTTACACAAGTCTTGAAGTGCGCAGCTATGTGGAGGGTATGAAAAACTCGAATCAACTTCTCGATCTACTTTCGGCGACTGGCTCAGACGAACTGGAGCCGACCAGAGCCGTTGCCGGGCGTACTGCGCTCTATGCTGATGTGCGGTCAATATGTATCTGCTATCTCTCGATACTTACACCGCTTTGCAGTATCTTTCTACATCCACCCTCCTGGCTGGTATCAAAGCTGGTCAACTTCATCAAGGTCATTTCAACGCTAACCAATATAACTACCTCGAGGTATGCGATGAATGTCCCTACTCGGACCTTTGCTCATTTTTTTCAGGGTACCGTTCCTGTACCCGCGTTTACGAAACCTGTCCTTCTAGTGGGCAGGGAAAATATGAACCGAGCAGTTCAGGGGGACGTCGTAGTGGTCGAAGTGTTCGATGAAAGAGAATGGAAAGCACCGGCTGACGAGGTCATTGACCAGGAAGGCAAGCCAATTTACTTAGACTGGCCGGCTGAATGCTAATTTTTCTCCTTAGCCACACTCAAAAACGACGATGCGGAGGACTCGGAGGAAGAGGGCGATGACCTGATGGTGCACGAACATGAATCCAAGGCTCTTCGCGCTGAACATACGAAAAAGGCTCCCACAGAGAAGCAACCGACTGGTAGAGTGGTTGGGATCATTAAGCGCAATTGGAGAGCGTACGTTTCCCTCCTGTTTCTATGTTCAATAGATTAACACGTATTTTGGACATAGATATGTCTGTCACATCGACTCTACAAGTCTCACTTCAAGTAATTCTACATCGCTCGGGCTTCAAACGGTGTTTGCTACTCCGGTTTCGAGACTTCTCCCTCGCATCCGCCTACGTACGCGCCAGGCGCCATCACTCGTCGGAAATAAAATATTGGTAACAATCGATCGATGGGATGTTACTTCGCGTTATCCGGAGGGTCATTTTGTCCGTGCGCTTGGAAAGGCGGAAAGCAAAGAGGCGGAGCAAGAGAGTCTCTTGTTGGAGTTTGAGGTGCCATATAGGCCCTTCGGAAAGGCGATTCTCGACTGTCTGCCGCCAGAAGGCGAGCAATGGGTTGTCCCGCCTAAGAGTGCCGCGAGTCCGGAGTGGAGAGACCGCGCAGACTTGAGAGGTCTCATTATCTGCAGTATAGATCCCCCAGGTAATACTTGTTCAATACTGCGTAAACAGGTACACTGACTTTTTGGATCACCAGGTTGTCAGGACATCGATGATGCCTTGCACGCACGTCGCCTGACGAATGGCAACATCGAAGCTGGCGTTCGTAAGTTTTTTCTTTTTTCTGCTCTTCAAGACTACCTCACATATGGTCGACAGACATCGCTGATGTGTCTCACTTTGTCCACCCGGATACTGCGATGGATAATGAGGCTGCTGCCCGTGGGTCTACGGTCTACCTCGTTGACAAGCGCATCGACATGTTGCCCGCACTTCTTGGCACGAACCTGTGCTCCCTCAGACCGCATGTTGAGCGACTGGCGTTCTCAGTCATCTGGGTGAGACGATTTCTTATGGTGTGCTTCCTATGGTAATCGACCGAACTTCTGATAGGAAATAACCGAAGATGCTGAAATAGTAGATGTTCGTTTCACAAAATCGGTCATCGCATCTAAAGCTGCATTCGAATATGGAGAGGCGCAACTTCGAAAAGATGACCCGTAAGCGAGACACCTCTCGATTTATTTTCTGCAATGCTGACGACGCAACTGCAGAAAACTTAATGACAAGCTCACGCAAAGCATCCGGCTGCTGAACTCCCTTGCGCAGAAGCTAAAAGCCAAGCGGATGGCGGCTGGTGCACTAAACCTCGCATCGCCCGAGGTCAAAATCCACCTCGACAGCTCCGAGTCGTCCGATCCGGTAGATGTGGAACAGAAAGCATTGCATGAGACGAACTCTCTGGTCGAAGAATTCATGTTACTGGCCAATACCAGCGTAGCGAGAAAGACTCAAGAGTCTTTCCCGCAAACAGCGGTCCTGAGGTATGCTTCTCTCGTTTACTGCATGCACTTCCTCAACCTTTCACAGACGGCATCTGCCACCACCACATACCAACTTCGAGAAGCTGCAAGATATCTTGCAAAAGCGGAAGGGACTCAAACTCGATGTCTCTAGCTCGAGTGCGCTAGCGGATTCCCTTGACAAATGCATAGTGCGTTATCCCCCGCCGTCTTTACGACTATGTTGATCGTTCAACTGTCCGCAGGATCCAAAAGAACCCGCTTTCAACACCTTGGTGCGCATCATGGCGACAAGGTGTATGCTGTCTGCGGAATATTTCAGCTCCGGCAGTGTCTCTCGAGATACGTTTGCGCACTACGGTCTTGCAAGCCCGATTTATACGCATTTCACCAGTCCTATTCGTCGCTATGCTGGTACGTATCCTGTACAATATTCGCTCCTCTCCTTATATTTACATAGCTATTTCTCAGACGTCCTTGCGCATCGCCAGCTCGCAGCCGCTATCGGTTATACACCACTGCATCCGTCTCTTCACTCCAAAATGCACGTGGAGCGCATCATGGAAGTTGTGAACAGGCGGCATCGGATGGCACAGATGGCAGGTCGCGCAAGTGTCGAGTTCTACGTTGGCCTGGCCCTCAAAGGCAGAAATGAGAGGGAAAAGGAGGTAACCGAGGATGCCTTTGTCATTAGGACATTCCGGAATGGTCTCGGGGTGTTCGTGTCCAAGTGAGTCCCCATTCGTCGTCAATCCTTGAAGGTGGCTAACCGATTATTCCTTAGGCTTGGACTCGAGGGTCTGGTCATGTTCAAGCGGGACACGCAGTTTGATGCGGAGAGCTACACCATCAGCGTCCCTTCATCTGATATTGGGCGACCTGATGTGACGATATCCGTTTTCGACAAGGTCACTGTGAGGATCGAGGTGGAGAAAGATAAAAATACTCAGAGAGGGCGGGTTAAGATGACGCTTGTCAGTCCCGTAGATTCAAGGGCATTGTAATTGAACATGTGGTTCGATTGGTGTCTTCCTCTGTATTATATGGTTGGCTAACCGCCTGCGTGATGGGTGAGAATGTATCACAAGCGGCACGCAGTGAATGCAACAGTGAGTTCTCACATTTATGTCTTTGACATCACCCACAACTGCCATAAGCTGCTGATGCCCAGCTTCCGTCGTGATGTCGAACTCCCACCTATCGTCTGGAACTGTGTCTACCTCCCCGTCCCCAGCTATTGGAACACGATCAGGGAGTACACTGCCGCTGCTTGTCTCCATCCAATAGAAAGCAAGCTTTTGTCCCATGGCATTGATGTCATGAAGTTCGAGCGCCCTAGTTTCGGGACGGAGACTACGAAATATCTTCCTCATCTTCTCATCTGCAGCAATCCTGGTTAACAGGAGGTTAATATGACCAGGGGACTGGAGCTAGAGGACGAGGAAGAGAAAAGGCTGCCGGTGCACTCTAACAACGAAGGTAGCTGTATCAGACATGGCTGCAGCAAGATCATCTGTAAGGGGATAGAATGGGCAAATCAAACAGTCGTGGTCTAAATAACCCGAACGCTGCGAAGAGAAGCGTGTTGTATGCCCCACTGTAGTAGTTTTCATTGGTGATATCAGCCGGAATACTAGTGAACACATCGAAAATATGCTGAGGCAACATAAGAAGATAGCGTGTATTGAGTGTGTAATGGTTCGTGGTTGGGCGTGCGCTATAGGGGCTCTCAAGAAGCGTGCGTTACATGAGCATTTCGCTGAGCAGGCACAAGACATACTCACAACTCGGACTAACCAGACACGAAAATCCACAGTCAAATGTGACGCCTCAAAGCAAGTATTAATCATGTGTGTGATGTACAGCCCGCGTTGGGTCGAAAGACCACAGCTTCAGAGACGAGTCCTTGACATATGGAAGCCGTCGGCGCCTCGACTTAGTGATCACGTTCTGGCTCTCAGAATCCGACTCTTGGTCTGTTGAATGCTCCTCGTCAGAACTATCAGAATCAACCTCTTCCATGCCCCCATCAAAATGGCGTGAGCCAGATGCCGATAGAAGGTTAGAACGCAGGGGCTGAAAAGCCACGCAGCCCACCGCATCTTTGGTCGCCAAATTAGTCACGGGAGAAATATGCATGAGCGGCTGGCATACTGGCCTCCATGTGCGCTGAAATTCAACTTTGGGGTCATATTCTGGAGTGACATCTCTGACGATTGTTCAGAATCCAATTCGTCCGAATCTCCAAGGTCAAACATCGAAATACATCCGTTCTATCACCAAATTGTTAGCCAGGGAGCCTGAATGTCCGACGTCTGGGAAAGTACTGTACCTGATCACCGACGCTTAACCATCTCCCAGCGCAGTCTATGTCGAATTCGATTTTTTGATTGGTCCGAGAATCAGGGGACGTCCTGAAGACTTGTACAGGTACAGATGTATCACTGCGAAGGTCCCAGGCATATATTTCATCATGTCGCCGAAATGCAGCATACAGGATATGCGGTTTCGTCGGATTAAACTTCAGCTGTAGGGAATGAGCTCAGCATGAACTACTAATGCTTCAGATCTAAACATGCCTGCGTAACTCCGGACTGAGCATTTGTGCCTCCTATAGGCATGATGGCTACTTTATTCGACTCGGAATACAACGCAATATTATCCATTGCTTGTGAGGGAGGTGTTAGGCTGCCGATCGCGTAGTAGTCGTAAGAGGAGGAGAAAGCGATACTGGATATGATGCCTGAATTTCAGTGAGCATTCATCCAAAGTACCAAATCAGACATCGTGCCTTTAAGTCCATCCTTACTTTTCTTACAAGGTATGGTCGGAAGCCGATCGCCTTCCCCAGGATGTTGAATGTCAAAGATCTCGATGGCATCTTCAAAACCACAGTATAACCTTGGTGTGGAGAATTCCCAAGACAATCATGATCAAACATAAACCGTAGTTCCATGAAAGGCTTACTTGTCTGCTGTCAAGTTGAACGCGAGACTATGAGGAGCGATGAACCTCTCGCGATGATCAACAATTGGGTACGAGGCTCTCAGCTAGTGAGTCGATCAGCGGTCCAACGAAAATGCACAAAAATAGTGGGTGCACTACCCTTGCATCCGAGGCATCAAGAAGTTTCACCGGACAGTCACGCACAGAAGCGACGAAACAGAACGCTGGAGCGTTGCTGGATGATGCCCCAGGATACCAAGCAAAATTGACAATCGCTGAGGACTGCGAGAATGTACGGGTATGATGAACGGAGAATTGTGTGGCTTCGGAATGCTTGATAGGTGAAGAGTTAGGTTATGCACAACGTGACTGACCTTGAACGTCTGACCTTCAGAATTGTATTTGAGATTGTACCAATTGACCCGAACGGCAACAATGTTATGCTCACGTATTAAACAGTTGAAATGCTCTGTTCTCGCACTGGACAAGGAAGCTGGATCCATCGGCACACCTTCAGTGATGCGACGTTTATGAATGGTGCTCAAAATCGTTGACTGAGAGGCGTACCACTTAGCAGAACGAGCGAAATTGTCTACGAAATCAGGATCCACGTCCAGATTATTTGTGAGGACAGAGTCTGGAAGGTAGGAAACGTCAAACTGAGGAGGCTTCCACTCCATCCCATATTCTGAGCCGCACTGACTAGTCGTCATGGGTTTGCATGAACTGTCAAGTTATGATGATGATGATGATGATGTAAGTATTTTGAGACGTATTTTACCTTAACCAGCGACTCGGCTCACTGGCAATGACTTTTCCTTTAAGCCATCCGTTCGTATGGACTATAGACGCACTGTGTCTTCAAATCAAACCCAAGCAATTTGGGCAGCAAATACCACCCAAGTGGTTTCCCAACTGACTAGTACGGTCCTAGTTAAATCCTCTAAGTCAAATACACTATGCTAAATCCCTACGTCCGAGTCTCGGAGTCCTTCAAGGCCTGTCCATCATCCGAGTCATTCTCAGACACCAAGGCAAATTAAGTCAAACGAACCCACAGGATTCAGCGAGTCAGAGACAACCGTCTTCCTACGAATCGGCTACAAGGGGAAACCAGCATTCTTCGGGTTGTTCTACCTGTGTGGATTGAATCTTCGATCCCGATTCCCTGCAGCCACCCTGGCCCTATCCCGCTTCAGAAAGCTCAATCTCAGCAGGTAGTACGGACGATATCTGCATCCAAACAAAACGCTCACTACAATCACTGTCTGATGCCCGTGGCACGCTGGTCTGTTTTGATCAGGATCGTAAGGAGAAGAACATCACGGAGTTAATCCCGATCCATCGACCGCAGATCCATTGGCGCTGCCCTATCCAGGTTGAGTTGGTGAAGGCGTACTTGACGACATGTGACGCTTCAAAAAACATTAAATGCCCAATTTGTTGACGAAATAACCTGCGCAAGGGTCACCCGCGGAGTCATGGGCCAGCAGCTTAGAAATCCCTTCAATGCTATTCCGTAGCATTGCGGAAGAACTCCTCGAAGCCTTGTTTGTTGTACCAAGCTGCTTTAGGAACTGGGCTGGTCGCTACGAACGGACCTCAATCTCCTCATATTTTCATCCACCACCACAGTCGGACTTACGCTCCTCGTTGAAATTTGAAAATGTGTGTTTACCGTGACTTTCTGTCGCACGTGATATCTCGAGCTCCGATTTCATATTTTCATTTCAGTTATCTACCTCGAAGAAGGCAGTCGCATTTCTGGCACGAGAATAGCTCGCTCTGGCTTTGCACCTTCTCGATTTGTCTTGCCTCCCAGAGATATCGACGCTTGTAATGATGGTCAGCGGAAATTGATAACGGCAACTCAGAAGCAGGAGAACTTCAGTCTTGAACCCAATGGCGGTCATTTCCAGAACAGACTTGAAAGCGATCGACTTTGGTTCTACAATTACTTTTCGTCTAGGACTGTAGCACAGGAGGCATGGCGCGAGCATTTCGAACATCCGGTGAGCCACGAGATATCGGAACTGGTTAGTGGTATTTATGTCTTAACTATTGCATAGTGTCGGTATTCTTACCCGGTCTTCCTGTACGGCTCTCGGACCCTTGTGCTTCGGCAACCAAAGATCCTCAAGAGCTCGGTCGCTGCTCGATCTTCAATTGTTCAGTTGTCGTCAGGCACAGATGATAACACTGAGCCGTATCCAAAAAAAAACGCTGATCCCCTCGCAGATCCATTGCTGCCGCAGGTTGGGCTAGCGAAACCGAACTTGAAGACATGTGATGCCTGAAAGAATTGTGGACAAAATGTCCAATTTGTCGAGCGAGTTGCCTGCGCAAGGCTCTATCGCGGCGGAAAAGAGTCGTGAACCAGCAGCTTGGAATACTCCCCAATTTGTTCAAAGTTCTGTAACATTACAGAACATTCGTACATTCTGTGCTTGGCGCAATGTCAAGGCCACTACGAACGGACCTCGAACTCCTCATCCTTTCATCCACTCATCGCAGTCGGATGCGCTGTCATTTGACATACACTCAAAACACAAAAACGCTAACGCAGCCTCGTTGAAAGTGCATGTCCACACTTCTTCGCCCCTCGTACATGTTTATCTTTCGCACGTGATTATCTCCAGCTCCGGTCTCTTTCATTTCAGTTATCTACATACCTCGAAGAAGGCGATCGCATCTCTGTCACGAGAATAACCCCACTCTGCACGTTCTCGATTCGTCCTTCCCCCCTCAGAGATTTCGACGCTTGTTATGAATGCGGAAATTGATAACGGCGTCTTGGGCGCAGGTACTGTCAAATTCAATAGAACATACGATCGACGTTAACAGCATGTCTGATTGGACCTTGCCTTCGGTCCTCCAAATACTTATAGGTTCACGTGAGGCATGATGTTCATTCTCTTGATGCATTCTTGGTCTAAACTCAAAATGAGTGATCTCTGCGTAATAGCTCCAGAATCATGCTCGAGAAGGCACTCGACCATAACTCAATTTTGCCAGAGTCGACGCTCCCTGTGAAATGGAGTCAATGACCAGATACTAATCGACGTAAAATACCCGACCGTCCAGGGATTTCATGTGTAGTTCGCGAATAGGAACTTTCCGGACGTATCATACATCATCTTCTCCACACCCGAATGCATTGGAATTCTGTTCGTTGCGGTTGCGGTTACGAGGAAGTTACTATGGAGGGGTCGCTTGACTTTGAGGTCTCTTCTTGTCTGATCATGACATCTGAAAAGATCATCATGCGGTACTCCCCGGGGTCAATCCCGAGCTAAGTACCCTGTCCTTACCCGACTCAAGCTTCTCATCCCGCTTCCAAAGAAAAACCGCTGATAGGTAGATGACAATTTCATCCCAGGACGAAGCACCGCGGCACAAACGGGTGCGACATACAAATGATATCGAGCCGATGCTCCAACGATCTAAATCCTCCGCAGGGGATGTCGCCATTTTCATACTCGAACTTTCGCGTACTTGGTCAGCGGCAGCGAATTCTTAGCATTGACCAACATAGAGCTTGTATTTGTCCAATGACACGGACCGGTTGCCCCTCCTCCGTGATGGGCAAGCGCGTGCGTTCCTCCATTCGCAGTCGGGCATACTTCTCAGTTCTATAACGTTTTATTGAGCCGGCGGAGAGTAACTCGTGTATTTCGGTCTACCCCTCGAATGAGAAACGTTGGGTTGAAGGACCGTATGCCGTGGTCCTGTCAATGGCGTTAAAAAGCACGACCACAAGACCAGCCCGTACCTGAGATATGATGATAAGACCGCCCGCTTCACAAGCGAGTCGACTAGAGGCACGAGAACCACCGCCGCCAAGCTTATGTACCCCAACTTCAATCATAATCAAACTAAAACTGAGTACCGAGCGAGACATAGATAGAACCATCTCCATTGGGGGGCTTGATCCGCGAAGCCCTTCGCGATGTTATGTACGTACGTCGTAAGTAAGTATACAAACAACGACTGACGAAAAACTTGCTATATGACAACGAGCTATCTTCCAAAAATATATACGGCTGTGCGTGAGGATGGAAAGGGTAGAGAAAACGTAGGTTATTTGGGAGATTTGGAAGAGGGGAATGAATGTAAGATTTGAGATGGAGAACACGGGTGAAGGGAGGAGTACAAGGGTGAATGAGAGTAGTACAACGGAACGGATTCGGGGCAAACCCTTAGCTACCAGTCACAGATGAGACTCATGTCAGCCAGTAACAAGACTCGCGTAGTAGAGTTGATTACAATGAAGCAGGGGAGTTGAATGAGATTATGTATTGAGACTCTAAGAGTCTAAGCCGCGCGAGTGCCTTAAGCGTACCGGAGTGTAGAGGACAGAGACAGAGATGAAACAATGATGACGACGATGATTAGGAGGTTGATGAGGACAACGGAGACGAAGATGGCGAGAAGAACCGAGGCCAACCAGGTTACCAACAAAACACGAGCAAAGGATTCTCGAAGAGAAAGATGAATGCGAAATGATGCGAGCACTCTACATTTGCAAATGAGAAAAGACAGAGGAAAAGATGTCGTGAGATGGCGTAGGATCATGTCAATGCGTGCAGAGTCGTGCGTCAAAAGGAGATGCGATGCTGATATTGATGCTGATGGTGACGAGGCGGAAGACGTGGATGGGGGAAAGACGTTTAAGACGAGCAGAATGGAATGCTCAACCCGAGGCTAATACTGCTGCATCCCACCCGTCTCATAGTACTCCCCCTGCCCATACTCGTACCCATGCTGCACCTGCTCACCCTCCTGCGGGAGAATCATCGGCGGATGCAAATACGTCGCGAACAAACTCTCTTCTTCCTGCGGAAGCATCATCGGCGGGTGCAGGAAATCCATACCATGTCCGTGCCCACGCCCATGTCCATGTCCATGTCCATGCGCATGCCCATCCGACGCTCCAGCGGCCTCGGGCAACATCGGGGGATGCACAAACTGTGGGCTACGTTCTGCGCCGCCGCTCGAGTGGTGCCAAAATGCGTTGTTACCGTTGCCTCGGAAGACAGTGTAGGGACTGAAGAACGGGAAGTCCATGCTGCTTCGTCGCGAGGACGAAGAAGCCCCAGCGCTGGTTGCGCCCGACCCCGTCGTGAAACTGTCTCCTCCATAGGAGGAGTATGACACCGCGCTACTCGGTGGCTCTGACACGCTGTCAGTGCTCATGCGACGACGTTTAGCAGTACGACCGGTCGCAGTTGTATTGGCATTTGCATTCGAAGTAGTACTAACATTGCTCCCGTTGTTAGCGTTGCTGGTTTTGGGAGAGGCGTTGGACGAAGACGAGTTAGAGGTCGCTTCTCCATCGACGCTATCGACGCCAGCAAACGGTAAAGCCTCGTTCGAACCAGCACTGACGCCCGCCATGCTAGGCGGCACCCAGTTTTGACTGAGATAGTCAGGGTGGTAAGGTCCGGGGAAGGGGTTATACACCGCATAGGTGTCTCCCAGCGCGCCCATCAACTCACTGCTCCCTCCCATACCCGTACCCACCATCCCTGCGCCTGCGCCCATCCCCGCACTCATGCTGTGCGAGGCAACGGGCTGCGTCGTGCTGTCCGGCGCCAAGATCGGCGACGGCGACGGCGTGGGGCGGCGTGAGACGCCTGGGGACGCAGATGGTGTTTGAGTCTGAGATGGGGTTTCGGATGGTGTACCTGGCGTGTTGGCATTAGGGAGTTCGGTGAGGGAAGAGCGTTGCGCTCGTGCATCATGTCGAGAACGTTTCCGAATGATGTCGGACTTCATGCTAATTGGGCGTGCGGAGCCGTGAAGTTTATAGTAAAGACCGCATCTGTGAGCAGAGGCATAAGCGTGAATACGAAGGGGGTAGAGGAATAGGTACTTACGCGTTACATACGGTCTTCCCTTCGTCATCTTTCCTCCACAGAGGCGTTGCAGTCGTATGACAGTTGTAGCACTGCGCGCTGCCTGCGGATACAAAGAAGTCAGAATTATGCTTGAATATATTGTACTACCCGAAAATCCACTCACCGATAATTTCTACAGGCTCCCCTCTGCCCATTCCCGCACTTGCACTCGTGCTTGCGCTGGCATTTGCGTTCGCAGCTGCACTCGCACCCACGCTTGCACTTGCGTTTGCACTCGCATTTGCATTCGAGCCTGCACCTGGGCCCGCACTTGCACTTGCAGTGACTGTACTCGCAGCAGGACTGACCACCTCCCCAATAGGCGTCGCCGAAGAAGAAGGCAGCGCAGCAGAGGCAAGCGCAGACAAAGCAGAAGCAAGGGACGATGCCCCACCGCGTCGTCCCTCACCGTGACTCCCGCGCATAGACTTTGGGCGGGGGCGTTTATGCTGCAAAAAAAAGAAAGCGTTCACATAAGTTCAACTTCAAAACACGCAGGCAAATGAGAGGAAACCTACCAATTTGCAGTAAAGACCGCATGCGTTACAATTCAACTCGTCGTTCAGACCCCTCCTCCACAACGGAGTATGAGTAGCACCACAGTTGCTGCACTCGGCTTTCACGCCACCGGGTGCAGTGAGCGTTGCTTTCCCGCCTGCAGGCGCGGTGCCTCCAAGGGTGAGGAGAGACGGGTTGAGGCCAGCGGAAGCAGCTGCCGTAGCAGCAGCAACGGGTTTCACCGTCGCGGCAGCGGTGTGCTTGACCGCGGACGGGGCTGTAGCAGCAGACGCAGGACTCTTCACACTCGTAGAGGCACGCCGTCCTGCTTTACCAGTCTTCTTCGTAGCAGAAGTCTGCACAGTAAGTACCGGGCGGTGAGTAGGAGTGTTCTTGCCGGAGCGGTCCTTGGCGCGTGTGCGCGGGTGGGATTGGGCGTGAGTGTGCGAGTGGGAGGGAAGCTGAGGGACTTGGGGGAATGGGTCAGGGGTAGGTTGTTGTGGTTGCGGCTGGCGGGAGTCGCTCATGAGGACATCTTGAGGCTGGTCAGAAGAAGCGGCGGCGGTGGACGCATCAAGGAGGAAACTACCCTCGGATTGGGTAGGGACGGCGTTGTACTCGTCACAGCGCATGTCGACATCGCCCTGGTCGTTTCCGTCTTCTTTGGTGTCCTCGGGGTAAGTAAGGGGTGCTTCAGCCATTTGATCGTCTTCACCGTCGAACTCGTCTCCCTCAAGAAGCTCGTCCAAGGGGAGTTCGATAGTAGGACGAAAGATGCTGAAGCCGGTAGCGCAGCCACCGCTTACGCCTTCCCCGTAACTCATAGGGTTAGTGAGGGTGGGGGTGGAGTAAAGGAGGGCAGTGGGGCCGAAGGAAGTGCTGAAAATGGGGGGGAAGTGAAGTTTTTCGTAGGAGGCGACGAATCGTTCATAAGACGGGTCGTTCATCGAGGAAGAAGCGTTGTCGTTTGTGTTAGACGTAGAGGCGGCGTCGGACGAGCCATGGTTGGTGCCAGAGGAAGGGTCACCTCGCCTGCGCCTGCGACCCTCCCTGAATTCGGCGCTAGGCCTCAGGTCAGGCTTCGTGGGGGTAGATCCTTCACCAGAGAAGGTAAAGGAAGAAGAAGAAGTTGCAGGGAAAGAGCCGGGGGGAGCGTCAACGCTGAAAGTAAATTGCATTCTTTTAATGGTTCCGGGACGAGCGTTCTGGGAAGCCTCTCGGGAGCGTTCGCGTTCGACTGCTCGTTGACGGATGAGATCGGTCGATGCATTACGTTTAAAATCAGGTGCTTCGAGAGATTCTATAGCGCTGTATAGGGTGATTAGGGTAAGGGTGGTGGTAAGGAGTCATAAAGGAGTACACACCGGCCCTTTTCCTTGTCGAGTTTGTCGCCCATGTTCTTGGAGAGTTTCTTGAACTCACGCTTGGATTTGGCATTGTCGGTATCGACCATGAGGTTCTGGAGGTGCCAGAGACGCCAAGATAAATTCTCGAGGCGTTGGCCCTGCTCGAGATAGGACGCTACTTTCGTGCATACCTATGAAAGGGGTGAGTGAAAGTAAAATGAGATTAGATAGGGCATACCTTCCACGTTTTAGTGAGCGACTCGGTGTCGCTCAAGTTGCTAAAAGCAACAAACGACTTGTTACCCTGGCACAGGAATATGCGAGTCAGCGGTTTAGGAAATGAAAAGGAGATAATAAAAAAATATAACCTTGAACTTGAGGTTGACTATGGATGGCATGGACTCTGGTAAACGTCCAGAGGAGGCACAACGAGGCTGAAAAGCGTCAAGTTCTGTATTGCTTGATCAGAGTATAAGAAGACTTTGATTGGAACGGGAAACGCAGGCGTAAAAGTCTGATGGCTTTGCTTACGAGATGTTTTCGCTTACTTACTACCACGAGGCCCATCAAATATTCATTTCTGACTTGTCTTGTTATTTTTTTTTTTTTTTTTTTACAATTCAGCGACCCCTCCTTTGCCATCGTACCGGTATCCGTGCCTCGACAACGTGTCCAATGGTATCCAATTTGAATCAATTGCAACCTATTGCCAACTAGTAGTTTCATTGCATACAACCGCCTTTACCCGACTGCTCCGAGTCACCCGTTCTACTCGAATACTACTACTACTACGACGTCGTTAGTAGTACTACGTCGCATCGTACTTCCTCGAGCTTCTCTTCTCAAGTCAAAATCCCCGTTTAGTACTTATAAGTACACGCCGAACGTTGCCTCGTGTTCCATCACCACAACACATGTTCATTATATTTCATCTCCTCCACAATAAACCCAATCTTAACACCCTGTGCCCTACATCCCGGTTCCCCGGACGACTTGATCCTTAATTAAACGAATACAACACAGCCTCCATCAGATACATCATCTACCTCCACTTTCAGTAACACCCCTGTACTTGACCCCTTTTACGGTCAGAAGCAACTTACACTCGAGCACTCGCCTCGAGGCCTCCCGCGGTCATTTCGCTCAATGTCCCCTCGAATCACCTTCAACTCAAGCCCCACCGTGCCGCATAGCGCCCGGCCTTCTTCTTCTTAACTTCCACTCTCCCCCCGGCCGAGCCTCTCCGTCCTTCTCCATCTCCTTCTGCTCACTCCTCCTTCTCCTACAATTCTTCTTTCGGCCGTAAATTTCCTCACGGTGTCCATCAACTTTTTTTTGTTCGTCATGCATATCGTTATTCTACCCTCTATCACATCAACGTCGCCACTAGCATCTTTTCTAGTCCCATGACCTTCTCACGTCGTCCACTATTCTTCTGCAATAACACCTTTTGCTGCTGCTTCGTAAAAATCACTTGTCCCCCCCCTCTGTCTGAACCTGTCATTAAACAACGCTGAGAGGGGGAGGTACATCACCGTCCCCCCCTCGCAGATTTTTCTGTTTGCCGTGAACCTCGTGAGTAGTGGTCTATCTTCAGTCTTTTTTCGGGCGGACCAAGTGGCCTGGTCATACCTTAGCTTTTTCAGCGCAGCATTTCCCCACTCAATCTCGCACGCTGCTGTAGTATGAACCACGATCATGATCACGATCTGCGTGGGGGAACGCCCCTCCGCCTTTCATACACCGTACCGCCACCGTCAGGGCCTCCCCATATCTCCAATCAGACACAGATCCCATTCACCTCATCACAGTTCACTCGTCACGGGGCCTGAACTATGCGACCCTTCAAGCCCCTCATTGGTAAGTAATTCAAGAATCCTCACTTGGACTTGGGAAACTCACTACCAAAATAGTCTCCGATACACGTACATATGTGGAGTAGTACGACCACCTGAGTCTACGAACCACCAACTGTACGTTGACCGTACGGCATATGTTCTTCGCTCGGTTTCTTGTGAGTTACCTTTGAGTTTGCTTATCGTTCTTCAGAGACGTTTGAACCAGTCAGTACATCTATGGACCTACGAGCGCCACCGAATCACAGACCTTGCTGACTGACTCTCCCGTGCTATCTGCACCCAATTATGTGTAGTTATTTACTACACCCGGACGACCTCGTCATCAATACTCCACTATCACGAGCGCACAACTATCTTTATCCCCAACGAGCTACATAGGTTTCCCTTCCACCTCAAACTCAAGCATTACGACTAACTCACAACCAGCACTTCTCCAAACTCAATCACATCAATCTCCAATTGCAATGATGATCAACGAACCCCTCGCCTCGATCAGGATCGGCGCACTGCGGTATTTTACATCATTAACCTGTCATTAACGTACATACTCGAGTTATTAATGGTCATCTCAGCGGCAGTACATAAGATAGGGGGTCGCCATGAATATAGACGTCTTCTGAATCGTATTCTTGTCTGGTAGATCATGAATGTTCGCTGTTGGCTTCTAGGTCTAGAACCAAGAACAACGACATAGCCCTGAACTAGGTTGGTCAGATATCACGCCACTGTACCTGCAACATATTCGGTAAGTATGTACTACACCAAAGCCTCGCTCGTACTAGTACTTACTGGAATTAAGACACGCCGCCGTTCGCGATAAACGCCCATTTCCGAGTACTGCGGTTGCTCCATCCGCGTTCCATACTTAGTGGTTGAGGACGAGCACAGCCCCTCCTCCCGTCGGCGCATGGTACGATGCCTAGACCTTCATTCTACAAAGCGGAATCTACTACACCAAAAACTCTGAACTGTGATGAGATAAGCTATCTCCACCGTGCATGATAAATGCCCATGGTCAGGTACTACCGTACCAAGTAGTTGCTCCACCCGCGCCTCGTCCAATGACGGTATCTACATACTTCAGAGTCTCAGATATGTATTGAGGACGAGCACAGCCCCTGAAAAATACCTGCACATGGTACGACGCCTAGACCTTCATCCTGCCGAGCGGCATTCACCACACCCGAGTCAGCGCTCAAAACTCGTGTCCGAAGAACACAAGAACCCCACATCACTCAGAGTCAAGGTCAAGTCATTCGAAGAGCGGTGTTTGGTAAACACCCTTCTCACCAGAAGAACCAGGAACGGAAGTTAAAATCGCGGCAAATGTTGGGAACGAGCGCATAAACGCCAGCTATCGTGCCTGCGACTTTCAAGATGATGTTTTATGTGCATGCAAGGTATGACTCGAGCTCCGTGAGTGACTCGTCGGACACGTATCGTGAATATCAAATTAAAAGACTCGTCAAGGAATCGATCGCTGGCAAAAGGTAACAACCTGTGACCTGTGTCTGGCCACTCGAAGGTTTTGCTCGCGTACCGTGAGTCGTGCGAGTGAACCACCTGATCTAAGAAAGCACGTGGAGGAATTATACACATGCATCGTGGTTCGGTACAATCCAATCGAAATAAAGACTCATCTATTGGCTCATGAGTAGTGGCGAAGAGGGGCACGCGCAACCGAGTATTTGTGCATACGTGATCCAAGTAGGACCCTGCATTCACGAACGAGGAAATGCCATTAAGTATAGTGTGCGGCTCAGGATTCCAGCACGGGGAGCAGATACATAACCCCCCTGACATGCCCAAAATGGTCAGCACAGCGCTCGGAACCAAATGTTGACAACGGAACCCGCCTCCTCAACGAGCATGGCGCAGTTTGAGTTTGGCCATAGTCAGATCCTAACCACTTGAAGCATTGTCCTGAATAAGGATGTGTGGATGGCGGGATGAAAGGTAGCATTTTGTAGGTATGTTAGTTACACCTTGGTTACACCGAGATCATGATCATGAGAAGGTTAAACGAAACGAACGATGACGGAGTTAGGAACCGCGCGTTGTGCTGTGTTGTGTGGTGCGAGCTCCACGGATGGGCGGGGGAAACGCCTTGGAGTTGGGGCTTGGTCTTACTATACGCGTTCCTCTTGGGTCTAATGCATAACTTCCCACTGGTGAGCGGAGTTTCCACAGCGGTCGGAACTTGCCATCTTGAGTACACCCCCAAGGGACAGAACGTGGCATGGCTGACATGCATCGCGTCCAGCGCCTTTGCGGCATTTTGAACCTCCCCGGATGGTCCGTGAGGCGTCATAGCGATGCTGGAATAGGAACCGCGACTACGGTAGTGGACACAGAAGCAGTATTCATGCACGTAGAAGACGAAGCAATAGGATAATCATCGAGGTTTGTTGCTGTGAGTTGGTTGTGAGTAAGTGTGCCACCAGAAAATACGAGCGGTGCTCATACGTGTGTTGTGTGCGCTGTTTGATAAACGACAGCGCTGGGCCTGTGAATACGAGTCTGTGGGGATAGCTGTCGTCATTCCTGTCAAAATTGAAAGGATGGTGACTGTCGGCGGTTTGAAGAAGGCTATCAAGTCTAAGAAGGGGAAGGCACACATCTGCCTGGTGTGAGCAACGACGAATGTGTTCAAAGGTAGAGCATAATGCGAGTTCTCGATGACACTACGACCAAATTGACGCAGGTTTAGGGTATCGCTAATACGATGATGGCGAACGTCGCGCGTGTCAAGCTGCAGCGAACTGGCGTATGGCTGTATGTATAGCGGCGGAGAATGTGTTGGATGCCCGCATATACGGGTGCTCTGGCAGGCGATGACGGTTGTAAGTCTGTGCAGGTCGGAAATGAGGTTTGTCTAGTCCGCGCTCAACAAAAGTGTTGAGATTCGATTCAATATAGCCGTGTTGAATGGTAAAAACGCATGCTTATCGAGAAATCCAGGGAAGGAGACGGCAGTGCTGTGCAAAAGAGAGTCCGCAATAGCATTAGCCTGAGCAGGCTCCGTGAAGTCAAGGGGTATGTGCTGGTGTCCAGCACAGTGAGATGACAACGAAGGAGTTAATGAACTGGCCAGCTAGCAGCAAAGGGAGCGGGGTGAGGTGGATGTCTGGAGACAGACGCCGAGCAATTAGTATGGCTGCAATAAGTAGTTCCCAATAATTTGCCGTGTAATAAGAGCAGAACGACGGTGAGGGGCATGTTTGTCAGAGGACCTATTGGGGCAGCAACCGCACGCGTAACAGTAGCTAGTGCGGTCATCAAAGAGGCCGAGGCAGGTGGTAAGAGCGACCCATCAGAAGCAAACAACGTGCCAGGGCCCATCTGCATATGAGGGGACGTGAGAGCAATAGCAAAAAGAGACAGAATCGCCTGCTCGGCAGTATCGCCGGGAAATGACAGAGCACACGTGCCGCAAGTGAACCGAGGGGCACCCTATAGTTAAGAGGAAAGATACAGGATCATGGAGAGCCCATGTAGGACATGGATTGCAAAGGTGAAGGCAGATCGATGCCGTGCTGGAGGCAGGGCACTGAGACGTCGTCAAAGACCAGGATGCGTCATAAAAGAGAGAGAGAGAAGTACAGCCATATGCATGCTTGCAAGGATGCGGAGCGTATAATGGGCAACAATTCAGTACACGCCCCAAGGCAAAAGCGCACTTGCAAACGCGAAATATAGTAGCGGCAGGAAGGAACCGCGTCGTGATCACATGACTCATATGCGAGAGATGGCCCAGCTGCGTCATGGAAGGGGTAATTAAGCTGCCGGCCTTCTCACTGTGACCCATTTTCTTACTGGGTGCACCATGAGGCATTCACAAGGATACTTTACTTCGGCGCAACTGACATACGGCCTGCGCTAACCTCTTGATACATCTGTCGTGATGCTTCCTCGTGGAGGAGAGGTTTTCCCTGTGTTCCATAACTCGAATCACTGGCAGTATGGCCAATGCTCACCACACTACGACCGTTCCCTGTCTTCTTAGCATCTCTGGTATCTCTCACATCAGTTCAATAGTCAATCCCACTGAATCTATTGAACAGGTGTCTCCGTCGATTTCGGTAAGTCGGGAAATAATGTAGAGTCTGCTGAAGTAGTACTACTACTACGGATCGGCAAATCTCACAGGCCAATTGAACACGAAGCAAGAAATGCGTTGCGACAGACATTTTCTCTACCCTTGTAGGAACTTCACGAGGAATCCAGGACAAATGCACTCATCTGAATTGCTGTGTGTGTTTATCATAGGGAGCTTTAATTGGGGATTTATTTTCCTTACATGTACGGTACAAGAGATGGCTTAGAATGAAGATCGAGCAGGAAGACGTTGATTTTGATACCGAAGACATGTTCCGCGTATCTGGTACAAGGGGAGAAGCCGAGAGACAAGGTTGAGCAGTAATCATTGCGCTCTTACCTTGGTCACTCACGGACTCGACGCCACATATGCACAGACTACATCAAGTTTCAAACACGTCTACTAAGTCGTAGATAAGCAGGATGAGCAGCTTGCATCTTCATAACCTGGAGCTTCATCCCACCATTGACGAAATCATTCATATTTGTCCTTGGTGAGTCAAGATCGCCATGCCGTGTCATTTCCCCAGACTGACACCTGAGGCTCCCAAGGTTCCGAATTCTGGTGATCGGAAAGGCATCAGGTTTTCGTGGATCTCAAACTGGTACTGACAATGCTTCCAATCGGCAGGCTCCTCTCTGATAAATCATGCATTCAGAGTGGACACGCTTGGCTGCTCGCGACACCGCAATACGTACGGAGCGTTACTCATGATGTCTCCATAGTTTGTTCTGCATATCAAGCCGGGCGAGGTTGACACCGACCACGAGTTCACCTCGCCTCAGAATGACAAGTTTGTTCTCCACAATAGCAAAGGGTTCGAACCGGGTGAAGAAGACAACGTGAACGTAGTCCGAGGTTTCATTGAACGTCGGAGAAACATGCCTGATTTGAAAGATCAGCCGCATGCTGTTTGGTAAGGCCTCCTTCACAAGACCACGTGGAAAGCTGACGACATACACGGAAGGCTTTGTTTCGAAATCAGGGCATCATGTGCCTGATATACCCCACGCTGCGATCTCCAGTGGGTACCAACATTCTGACCGCTTCATGCGTCCCTCTGACATATACGAGCACAGCCAACGAAGACCATAGGGAAACACTGGCCAGTCTGATCCGGATGACTAAAAACGACGTCCATCAGTATCTTGCACCCGAAGCGTCGGTGATGACTTCCATCCCTCAGTGAGTGGATCCTCAACTCAAAATAAATTCCTCCATCGAGTAAGCATTGCTTCCTTCATTCCTATCTTCACGACTTCCTTCTCTACGAGAGCTGCATTTTCCCCAAGCCCTGTCTCTGAAAGTTGTGTAGTATTTCCCGTCCAGTGAGCTGCATGTTCAACTCAGGCCTGTCCAAGTCGTATGATTTGCTATAGAGTACCTGCTACTGAGTGGAGCGCGACTCAACACCTGCTTGCACTGTTTGAGGTCTGACTAACATGTACCAGAAGTGATGTCCCGAGCAGATAAATAAGCATCACAGTTCGAAAGTCAATTAATATACGACATGAGATATTCATGCAGTTCCAGCCCTGCACTACACACATAATGCAACGTTCATCAAACCTCGACTCTCGACATCGAGAGCTGACCTTCAAATTGCATCTCGGATACTTCCGCCAGCGTTGTATGATTTTGTAGACGTCCTTCACATTCTCGTAGGTTGAAAAGGATACGAGAGGCGAGGATACTGTGGATGACAATCTGTGGACTAGAGGTGTGATGTTTATTTGCAGATGTCGTCAATCATGGTTGTTGGACTCACGAGTCTGTGATAGAAACCCATGTAATCTGTGCTCGACGATGAGTGCATAGAAGTCAAGCCAAGCGTACTACAACGCACCGGAGGACTCATAGTGAGGATGATACTGAACGAAGACATGACTTGATAAGAGGTAGGAAATCAGCATGCGGGCCAGTCTTACGGACAGAGTCATCTTACTCATAATGCAAATCATATATCTCACTGAATCATTGAAAAAGGTTTCTGGGAGCAATCCGACGATATTTTTGTACCTTCTGGATTTGATGAACAACATCAAGCACAGGAGGACTGACTCATGCGTGAGTTAAGGAATTCTCGAGAGACGAGACAACTGACCCAGTTCATAGAGTAACAAAGCAGCGTACTCGAAGACATTGTTTCTCCCGCCCGCAAAAAGACAGCCGCCCGGATTCGCTGTACACCGTGAGCATCACGGTTACGGAAATTAAGACGGATTCACAAACGTAGGTTAATTGGGGTCGTGTTCGAAGAATTGAAGACTCCTAGGGGAGTGTCTGAGATGATATAAGAGATGACGAAACAAACCTGGATATCTGGGTCAACTCAGGTCCTCGTGGCGATGGCAAAAAAAAATTACCACGGGAAAGACTAGTAGGAATGTTAGTAGACGCTTACTTGCCCAGGAAGCGTAAATCCTCGTTATTAGCAATCCTACAGAAAGAACATGTCTATTTTGGCAGCTCATTCAAGATATGACACACCTTCTGAGGCTATAATGCAGATGATGTGCAACACTGAATAAAGGATTGATGAGTAAATCAAAGTATAGGGAGCCGCGCATACTAACCGTTGGACGCTTGTCCAAATTTAACACACTGCCCGGCCTTTTTGAATATTTGCGCATGTAAGGAAGGGGTTTGATCACTCACACTTTCACCGGGATAGTATTGTGTCCGAAGCGCAGCTATCCATGGGCCATGAGAAACTGTCACAAAAGCAGATTATAAATGCATGTAGCTCACCCGTGAATGTCATGCCGATGCCAAAAAATGGCAGGTATCGCGATACGGTGAATATAAATCGTACGAACGTCCATTTTCGGTGCCATACCCACTGCGACTTTCGGAAGGTCATTGAAAGATTCTGTGATATGCCCACCCGAACACACCTCTGCCTCCAGAGTAATACAGTAGTCAAAAACCTAAGTAAGTACATTAGCAATTTAGCATCACATAACCCGCGAGAAGCGACTCAGTCAAGGCACTCACTAAAATAGCAAACGTTCCCACTGGGTTATTTTAGTCAGACAGCACTCGACAAAGTAATGACAAGACTACAAACCATTGAAGTACTAGGTGAATCAGGAGTGAATTAGAGACTTTGAAACGTATCGAAAACCCGTCGCACACCTTGGATGTCTGAGTGCCAGTATCGGCATACAAAGCAGTACCAGTAGCGTAACTCATCAGGTTCGTATAAAGCAGTAAGTGGGATCAGAAGTCGCGTAGCGCGCTTCTTCTTATGCATTGCTTCACAATATAAGCACGTGCAACTGACGGCTGTGTCGCACAATTACGGTGTCTGCCTGGCAGGCATATTCAAATGTTGCAACAAGGATCAGGAAGGATAGGCAAGCAACGAACAGAGATGCAGAGGAATCGAGCATGGTTTGAATTTGAAAGATGTGTTGAAGAGCAACGAACAGCAGCTTCCCGATGTACGTCGATTATCTGATGCTTGGGGTCTGATGTCTAAGTTGACTCTTGTCGTCGTCACGATGAAAATCATTGATCCTTCACACACGCACCGTGCCATCACTGAAATTCATTTAGCGCTAGTAGGGACGTGAGTGGCGGTTCACATGCCTCGAAGCGTCCCGTCCCAGCGCTAGCCTAGTGGATGTAGGGTCACTGGGGGACGTCTGCACTCCTGCAAACATCGACAACAGAAAGATATATAGGTCGTCGAAATCAGTTTGTTTCCGCAGACGGTCGAAAACAAATTTGAAAACAGCGTCGAAAACGCCTCGAAAACACAGCTTTGAATGTCCCTAATAATTAACGTCCCTGTTGTTTGTCCGACAGGGTGATCAAAGTTGAAACCTGTTTTCGGGCGATTCCGACGTCGAAAACGCCTCGAAAACACAGCCTTGCAGATAACCGGTCACGTTCACTGGGTCAAAGTATGAACTGGGGTTCACGCAACACGTTAGGGAACATCTCGAGTGGGAGACACTAGTACTGCCCCGCGACGCTGCGAACGTATCAAGGACTTCCATCTACGAATAACAGGAGCATAGCGCCTGGTACCGTATTACTACTACCAACGAAGTGCGTTGCAGATATCCTCCTATCGATGGCGTTACATCCAAATTGATATAGGTTTGGTGTATCGTTAAGACGACGATGTGGTACCACTCGTGACTTGCAATCAGACCTTAATCAGACTAATAGTAAGTACTTGGGAGATTGATTAAAACATTCAACTTGCCTCCGTCCCAGGTGAGGGCGACTGATAGGCTTAACGCACGCGCATATACCCTATGAAAGTTCCATATTGGGTGATCGTACAGCCATTTGATACGGTGCCACACCCTTGAATCACCCCAGCGAACCATTCGAGAAACTTCAAAAAACCTGCATTTACCACAAGACGCCTCAGCTCAACATCGACGTGATACTGCATTAAGGTCTTGCTGAAGATAAATAGATCAATGGGATTTCCAGAATCACGAGTCAAAATGTACGCACGCGGTGCTACAAAGTGACTTCGATTCATTAACTCCTTCCTCTAAGAGCCTTCGACAGTTACTAAATGTCCTTCCAAGTAGACGTATTTGCCTAATATATGCGGATATAAGCATAAGATTGCAATGAAAAGTACCTGCCTTGAATTTGACAACCTTATTGTCCACGAGATCTCGTATGTCTGGGAGACACTGCCGGAGTGACAGTTGTGCTGCAGCTGACCAGTGAGTTCCAAACCTCGTTTTTCCGATCTTTTGAAAGGCCTTCACAGTCTCGTCATTGTCATCAACACAACGCTTCTTTAGAAGGTATGCGGCGCTGATCGTGGACTTGCTAAAATGCTTAATGATAGGTTTGAGGAATGATAGCATCTATATCGCGAACCTTAGTCTCTAGTCAAAATTCAAACAACTTTTCTTACCCGTTCGAACTCTGGTGACAGGGTAACGTTCTTGATGATATTGTGTACATGACGACAAGCACCACTAGCAACAAACGCACGCAACCAGAACAAATCGCTGCAAAGCAAATATTATAGGTTTTCTGATGCAAGCTATGCCTAGAATATCCACTCAAGACAATATTCAGTACGATGTCGGTGTGACGCGGGCAGTGGTGCTGACGTGGCATACTTAGTGATGGTATGTGTCAAGCCTGACACGGTCGTGACGCGGCGCTGAAAAACATTGACGCCGCACAGACGAACCGTGACGGGAGCATGGGTAATGATACAGCGTAGATGGGGCTTGACATGGTAGTATGGCTGGGGCTTGACGATGACGAGGTGAGGGAGACGAGGCTTGACGGACTGCCACAGTCCGAATAACACTTCATGCAGCATCTGAAAGCTAGCGTTAGACCACTGTGAGAGACAGTACATGAGGCGCACTACACCTTGACACTTCCCTGTGTTGTATGAACGTAGAGTCCGTGCGGCGTGCCTGTGAATGTAGTGATAAGTGCATTTCAGCATTCGAACTCTAGGGTCTGTCCGCACAGGGTAGCGTTCTCAAGGTCTTAGGAGGATGCAAGGAAGGATCAATTGTATTTCCTGTAAGATAGGTTCTTCCTAAATCGCCATGAAGTTCTGCCAGAACAATATTCAAAAATAAAAGCAAGCCGTCTTCCTACCGTCCCTTCACATTTATTTGACTCCACATCACATCCTCACAAACAATGCGTTTCTCATTCGTCCTCGCCGTTCTTGCTGCTTTGACAACGTCAATTTCTGCCAGTCCCATTGACAGCCGCAGTGATGCTGACAGCAACAAAAAATTTTGTCCCACATATTGCAAATGGTTAGACTGCTGCGCTGGCATGCACTGCACATCGGAGGCTGACATTGTAAATGACGTTATCACTGTGAATATGAGTAGTTTGCGACATGGATTTAACCACATGACTTACCGGCGTGGTAGCTCGTCGCGGTATGTTCGTATAACTGAGCGGCGTGTCGCGACAGTGAACAACAGTGAGTCATATTTCTACTCTCGCGTCGGTGCAGTATGGTTGATGGCGTTGCTAGTGGTTTCTTGCTGAGTTTATCAACGTGCTTGCTTCTGAACAAACTGCTCTGCTTGAGCAATGGAAATATTGGGATAAAGAAAATCTCAAACACTCGAATACATAGCATATGACTGAAGGACTTACGACGGAATTTTGTAGTCTCGTTGTGTGCTTGAACATAAAGGCCAGTGACGACACCACGACTCCTCCCGTCATAGGTTTACTGGGCCCCATGGATGCATTTTTGGTCTCCACTGTTCTCACGACCCCACTAGATGGTGGTATATATGGAAAATCGTCGTTGTCGATTTGAAAAAGCTCAAGGACCAGAAACGGCACTTGTGGGAGTAGGTAATGACTCGGATCTGATAGAACTGTTAGATTTGATGTACGTCGTCACGGAAGTTCTACTTAGCCAGAGCATGATATTCATTCGCTGGCCTTCACTCTTTTCGCCGATGGATTCATCGTGAGGTATTGGGCTCTCCTGTGAAATTCCAATGAAGACAGGGTGATGGTTACTAGTGTAATAGATTACTGTACCGCGATGCAGATATCCGTCGAGTTCCCATATATCCAGCTTGTTCCTTTAGGGCCTGGTAATGCTCGCAGGGGGACGTTGGATTGCTCCAGATTCGCGTTTCCGAAGGCAAGGGGTGCAGAGCTTGCTGAGAGAACGAGGTTCCAAGGGCCAAAGAGCTAGATGAAGTTAATTTTTAACCAACATTCCATACTATAACGCCTGCTTCAAGTCCGCTCGTGGTTAGATCGAATGCCCATCGTTACTATGTAGCCTCTCCGGCGAGAGATGCACGGATAAGTATTACGGGCATCTCGCTGGAAGGGCACTGAGTACACAGCTGCCGTACTAGGTGCTGCTACTATCCAAGGTGTTTGTATTTGTGTACACGCTGGACAGGGCCGAGGCTTGGAGGTAGCGGGAATTTCAAATTCTGATCTCATGCCAGTAGGGCTGCTCAATTCTAAAAAGTCGTTGTCGATGTCGACTTGAGCTAACGGTCACCTCTCGTAAATTACTTACGCAGACCCTAAACCTTTCCTAATTTGTCTACCACCGCCATCACCAAAATTACACAACTCAGACATGGCTATATATGGCTATGTCGGAGCTACCATACCTGCCACATGTATCCGGTGCAAGGTCTCAATGTAAGGCAATGTTAGGAAACTCAATTCCTACATGGTGACTGCTATATGACTATAGTCAGGCATTAGGCTAGTGTACTGATATATCAAATATTGCTATGTACATAATGCATTTGAAGTTCGTTCAGATTCATCAGACATTGCAATTGCGTTCGGATATAACCATGTAATGCATTGAATTTATAGGGTCAAAATAGAAATAGGTTTCAAACTTGTGAAAAAATATCTTTTGGCGGGCTGGTACATATCATAGAGGGTATCGATAGGATGGATATGAGCCAACAATTAAGAAAAACGGCGGTTGGATTGTGGAGATATGTCCAAAATACCGATATTTGAGCCAACCTCCCATATCACGATAATGCTGACCTCTGGAAGGTCTGGGACCATTCCCAATCGATTCACAGGCCTCAAATACCTTAGGAGCAATGTTAGTTAGGTTAGGTGGTGTCGACACACGAGCGCGAAGCGCGAGTGTGGAGATGTGAAAGCTGTGAGAGGAGACTATTCGGTAGCAAGTTTGCCCTCGCTTTGGTGAGCAGAGGACGCTTTCGATGGTACTGGCCATCTCATCAGGCTGAATAGTAGTTTTTATACCTGTAACGCTGTAGATGTGAGTCTAGCAGCTAAGTTTGCTATCGTTTAGATAGTAAACATAGGAGGGATAAGGGTATATTTATATGGTCATTTCAGAAATACATTTCAAAGTTGTAAAAAAATATCTTCTGGTGGGCTGGTACATATGTTAGAGGGTACTTTCAGGATGGATATGAGCCAACAATCAAAGAAAACGGCGGTTCGGTTATGGAGATATTGCCAAAATACTGACTTTTTAGCCCCACCACCATATGTCACAAACATTGATCTCCAGATGGTCCAGGACCATCACCAATCGATTCCTACACCTGAAAAACCCCAGGACAGTCCTTTACAGTATCAGTTTCAAGTTAAAATCAAGTACAGCAACATATAGGAGGTAGGAGGGAGGAGGAGGACCTTGTATATCTCAGGAATATGATTTTTCCAGGGAAATCTGGCATCACCACCGTGTTCAGAGGGATCAAGAGCCCCCAGGAAAAATGCTTTTGGAGAACTGGCAAGTCATGGGAAGTCTGTAAAAATCGATCTTTGGGTGGGGCAGCATGACAGGGGTGGTCAACTTTGGAACATGATTTTTAGAGCGAAATCTGGCTCGACCATCGTGTTCAGATGGTCAAATAACCTCCAGAATGAATCCTACCTAAAGCCAGGCAAGTCATATGAAGGCTGAAAAAATCGATCTTTGAGTGGGGCAGCATGGCAGTGGTGATCAACTTTGGAACATGATTTTTAGAGCGAAATCTGGCTCGACCATCGTGTTCAGATGGTTCAATAACCTTTAAAATGAATCCTACCTAAAGCCAGGCAAGTCATATGAAGGCTGAAAAAATCGATCTTTGGGTGGGGCAGCATAACAGGGGTGGTCAACTTTGAAACATGATCTTTAGAGCGAAATATGGCTCGACCAACGTATTCATATGGTCGAATAACCTCTAAAATGAATCCTAGCTAAGGCCAGACAAGTCATATGAAGGCTGAAAAAATCGATCTTTGAGTGGGGCAGCATGGCAGTGGTGATCAACTTTGGAACATGATTTTCAGAGCGAAATCTGGCTCGACCATTGTGTTCAGATGGTCCAATAACCTCTAAAATGAATCCTAGCTAAAGCCAGGCAAGTCATATGAAGGCTAAACAAATCGATCTTTAGCAAGGAGAGCATCATAGGGGTGGTAGTCAACTTTGGAACATGATCTATACACCGTATGGCTGAATATTATATAAAACATGTCACATTTTTATTGTTTTATGAGTATCTCATTTGATAGAGGGTGTTACTGGGATTGTGTTCCACTCACTTTTATAAAATTTGGTGGTCAGGAACATGAGTTATGTCCATTTTACTGTTTGGAAGGTGATACCACTCCATGACCATATTCAACAGGTATTATGTCATCTACAGGGAGTTATATCACTTGCATATAGGTCTATAAGTATTATAATCAGGTAAATTTGGTATCTCCATCTGATGATAACCACATTCAGACATTTGCCCTAGGTGAGAGGAGGAGGGGGTGAACTATAGCAATGAAAAACATTCCTGTGATCCTGAAACTTGGTTTATCATCTTCTCTGACCTTTAAACTGGTGGGCACATGATCAGCTTGGTCACTGGTACATCCAGAGTGATCTGGCTCTGGTGTCTCCTGGTGGGTTGAGATGATCTGAGTCTATCACCTCACAAAAAATTCTGGGGATCCTGAAAACTAGCCTATCATGTTCTCTGGCCTTTAAAATGGTAGGGACATCATCAGTATACTCGCCAGTACATAATCTGGGTTTGGTGTCTCTTCATAGCAGGAGGTGTTCTCAGTCTATGATCTCACAAAAAATTCCTACTGCTCTGAAACTTGGTGCACCATCATTCTTGACCTTTACAATGGTAGGAACATAATCAGCTTGGTCACCGGTGCATCCAAGATGATTTAGTCCTGGTGCCTCCTGATCACTGGAGGTGACCTAAGTCTATCACCTTACAAAAAATTCCAGACATCCTGAAACTTGGTGTATTATCATGTCTGACCTTCCAAATAGTGGGGACATGATCAGCTTGATCACTGGTGCATTTTGAGTCATCTGCTCCTGGTGTCTCCTGATGGGTGAAGGTGATCTGAAGCTATCACCTCACAAAAAAATCTAGACATCCTGAAAATTGGTGTATCATCTTCTCTGACCATTACAATGGTGGGGACATGATCAGCTTGATCACTGGTGCATTTTAAGTCATCTGCTCCTGGTGTCTCCTGATGGATGAAGGTGATCTGAGGCTATCACCTCACAAAAAATTCCAGACATCTTGAAACCTAGCCTATCATATTCTCTGGCCTTTACAATGGTGGGAACATAATCAGCACAGTCACTAGTGCATTTAGAGTGATCTGGATTTGGTGTCTCCTGCAGGAGGTGTTCTCAGTCTATCACCTCACAAAAAATTCCAGATATCTTGAAACCTAGCCTATCATCTTCTCTGACCTTGACAATGGTGGGAACATAATCAGCTTGGTCACTGGGCATCTAAGATGATTTAGTCCTGGTGCCTCCTGATGACCAGAAGTGACCTAAATCTATCACCTTACAAAAAATTCCAGACATCCTGAAACTTGGTGTATTGTCTTGTCTGACCTTCCAAATGGTGGGGACATGATCAGCTTGATCACTGGTGCATTTTGAGTCATCTGCTCCTGGTGTCTCCTGATAGGTGAAGGTGATCTAAAGCTATCACCTCATAAAAAATCTAGACATCCTGAAACTTGGTGTGTTATCTTTTCTGACCCATCTGATAGTCTGGACATGGTTGGCTAGATCATTGGCACATTTTAAGTCACCTGGTCCTGGTGTCTCCTGATGGGCACAGGTGATCTGAGGCTATCACCTCACAAAAAATTCCAGACATCTTGAAACCTAGCCTATCATCTTCTCTGACCTTTACAATGGTGGGAACATAATCAGCTTGGTCACTGGTGCATCCAAGATGATTTAGTCCTGATGCCTCCTGATGACCGGAGGTGACCTAAGTCTCAGCCCACAAAAAATTCTAAACATCCTGAAACTTGGTCCACCATCTTTCCTGACCTATAAAATGATAAGGACATGATCAGCCTGTTCACTAGTGCATCCAAGATGATCTAGTCCTGGTGCCTCCTGATCACTGGAGGACACCTAAGTTTATCACCTCACAAAAATTCCTATGATGCTGAAACTTGGTTCATTATCTTCTTTAACCTTTAAAATGGTGAGAACATGGTCAGCTTGGTCACTTGTACATCCAAAGTGATCTGGCTCTAGTGTCTCCTGGTGGGTGGAGATGATCTGAGTTTATCATCCCACAAATATTGTAGGGATCCTGAAAACCAGCCTATCATGTTCTCTGCCTTTTAAAGTGGTAGGAACATTATCAGCCTGATCACTAGTGCATCCAAGATGATTTAGTCCTGGTGCCTCCTGATCACTGGAGATGACCTAAGTCTGTCACCTCACAAAAAATTCCTACCATCCTGAAACTTGGTGCATCATATTTCTTGACCTCTAAAACAGCAGGGACATTATCAGTGTGATCACCAGTGCATCCAGGATGATCTGGTTCCCATGTTCCCTAATAGGTGGAGATGATCTGAGTCTATCATCCCACAAAAAAATTCAGACATCTTGAAAGCTAGCCTATCATCTTCTCTGACCATTACAATGGTGGGAACATGATCAGCTTGATCACTGGTGCATTTTAAGTCATCTGCTCCTGGTGTCTCCTGATGGATGAAGGTGATCTGAGGCTATCACCTCACAAAAAATTCTAGACATCCTGA